GGGTTTTGTTTTCTAATAAAAAAAAAAAAAAAAAAAAAAAAAAAAAAAAAAAAAAAAAAAAAAACATATATATATATATATATATATATATATATATATATATACTGTACAATTCTCTTAGACCCCATTCCCATAGATTTTAGATCGATCTATCCCTGTGGGGAGTCTCCCTAGATTACTGTCAGCTTAGCCGGCTTAAGCGTCTGTCCCGCCTGCTAAAAGCTGTAAGGGGGTAATTAACTATGGTGCGCGCTCGGCTGGCTGCAATTTAGCGTGAACCCCCAGGGAGTTAGGTCGATCTAAATCTTAATCTCTGGATCGATCTAAAACTCTGGGAATGCACCCTTAGTTACCTGGGCATCTGACGGGCCCTGTATGCCACAAAATATCTCAATTTCTCCATCCTCTCCTCTAGGTACGGCTCTAGCCCCATTCGTCTCCAGATAAAAATGTTCCTGCCCCCCTCCTTTGATCTCCCCTTCTAAGATGTGCTCAGCCTGCTCAAAGCCATGCGCCGTGTCGCCAGTTTTGATGACATTCTCATGTACAGGGTAATATGACTTTACTTCAATTGCTTCCTACAAAAATACATTCTTTTTTACTTGAATCGTATAACTTCCATTTCTTTCATAGAAACCATGACCTACTTAGTCGTATTTTAATTATATATTTTTGTTCAAATATACGACTGCGTCATATTTAGAACTCGAAAACTAACTTACAGGTCGTTATTGTAATTTATTAGAAAGCCTGGTATTTGTTATTTATTTTTACATATATATATGCCGGATGTATTGTTTTTTATATATACCTCCATTGTCAACACTGTTGGAAGGTCTTGGTACTCAATTTTCACAGTCTTTGCCGCCCTCTGTGCATTCGTTTTGGTGTCGGCCACAATGGCTCCTATTACCTGACCATAACTAGTCACCTAGAATAACAACGTCTCATAACTATGAGTCAAAGATTATTAACATAAACAGCTTCAAATGTTATATTTTTTCACACAAAATATTCTGACCATTAAAATACCACATACGTATACGTTCAATATTTTTAGCCAATAAAAGTATAGGTGTGCTATCCGAACTCACCTCACTACAACATTCAAGATATACTTCGTACAGATATCTGACATCCTAATATTGAAATTATTTAATTGTTGCTAGGTTTGAGCCATGAGACGTCTTCTAGAACATGTGCCCGTAGGTATTCTCAGTATTCTCAATATTTGGACGTTTAGGCCTTTGGGCCTAGGGGTTGCCTCACACAGCAAAGGCAAAAACGGTTCATTGATAAATGTTTAAAAGTAGGGAAAGGATACAGGACAGATTTCAAGCAATCTGATGATCTGAACGCGGAATAGCTTACTGCTCAATAAAGTATAAATTAATTATAGGAGAGAACCGGTCTATGTAGACAATTGCCCAATGCACAACTTTTCACAATTTCTAGGGTTCATTTTAGTTGTACCAAACAATGCCTTTGGTACCTCTTCGGAAGCAAATATTTCCTCTGTTCTGATCTTAGATCCTGGTACATCCTTGTGGCCAAAGAATACCTCTACTCCAGGCAATGCAAGGGCTTCACTAGTGTCAATTGAGAGGATCTTGGCGTGGGCTCTGGTGCTTGTCACTAATGCCAAGTACAGCTCACCTGTATTATAATGAAAGACACGTTTTGAGAACCTATAGAATCAAATCCATATGTGCTTTTAATGACAATGGAATTGATTCGACATCGGGACAGCTGTCCAATTTCACAGTTTAATCGTCGTTGTTTATTTTTTTCCCGGATGGTTGAGATTATTGCGCTGTTGTTATCGTCTAGTCTTATATTTTAACTTTTCAGCGACTATTTTGTGACTACTAAAACATGTCTTTGAACGTATCACAGAATTGTAACATTAATGAAATCATACTGATAATCGCTGGTCAAAAAGATTAGTTCTTTTTAGTACCGTTTAAAAATGGCATATCATCGCAATATTGAGCCTCCCCTGTTGCGTGCTGCATGCTGGCCTTGTGTGGCAATGGGCGCCCAACGGCGTCGTATTCTGGTTGTTCAGGGGGCACCTCCTCAAAGACTTGCGTGCCACGACTTGTCCCACGTGTCAAAGTAAGCGCTGCAGATGCGTACGACTGGGGAATTGTATTGCTCACTTCACCTTTCTAAAGGACAGATGTAACTTGAGGCATGATTTGCAATCGTATGCGTTCTACGTTAGCATTTTGGTACAAGTTCAAAATGAAGCAAAGTGTATGTGAAATGCGGTAACTACGTGAGACAAGACTGTAAATCAGATCAGATTATTAGCATTCTTTTATATTGGAATTCTGTAATATATTTTTTTTTTCTCATTTTTTCAAGAGTTTGCATTATGTTTAACACTTGTTTGTGAATTACATTGTATGCTCGCAAGTTTTACAATACATACAATAATAAAAATAGTTAAAGTACCCCATTTCTACACTGCTTTAGGTGTATCTTTAGGTAGAATTTGAAAAAGAAACATTCAGCCAGTGTCCTCTTGTACGCCACATGACCACCAATGCCATCTGGAGGTGCTGGGAAATCTTCTGCCAGCCATTGGCTTACATCTGTTAGAAGCTGCTCGTCCCACTTTCTAAAATGAAGTTACTGTAAAATGCATTATCGTGTGATATCTGCGCCATAAAAAAATGGCACAAAGTTTAAAACAGAGTTTGAAACAGAGTTAAAACTTTTTGGTGTTCTCCTTTGTTCTTCTCCAATTGACTGTACATTTATACATGGTATCTGTATAGACCCCTACATGCACCTATCTGTACCTTCCAATTACATTCTTTGCTGTTTTAAGGGCCAATGAAGGGGTTTCAGACATGCCACCAAATGCCAGTGATAGTTCTTTGATGACTTTGGTTCCATCTTCAAACAGGACTCTCATCCCAGCATTCACTATGGCTCCTGCATTTTCTCTACGCTGGGTTTGTTTGTAACTGGACACAAATTCGTTCTAAAACAATTGGAAGCATTTCATGCGCATACTGTGCACATATAACGATACCAGAAATAATGCGACCATTTAATTATTTTTTGTAAACTTTATAATCATCCAAAAAGGTAAATAAGGCTGCCTTTATTACTTCCCTGGCCATCATTATGTACGTACTAAAGGTGGGAAAAGGAGAACTCTAGAGACAGGCTGGCGATTTACAATATCTTATATATATAGCCAAATAAAACGTTTATATATATGGCGGAAACCCTTCGTACCTCTTTTGAATACGGGATAAAGACAGACAAGATAATCTCATCAGATCCAATGTTCCACTTTTTGCGACTAACGAAAAATGTGTTGTCCATAAGAGCATCTCTCCGACCACGTTCTAAAAATCAAATTAATATTGTTTGGTAAAATGTGCACAAAATAAGAACAAAATAAGAACATGCAATGGAAACAGAACAAAATATGTTTATTATGGCGATGGTAGTATTTTTTATTATGTCAGGATACGTCAAGTAAAGACAAATAGGTAATAATAGTAGGTGCCATATATGCAACTGATGTTAAATATGGAACCCTGCAATGCTGAGTTTAACAATGACAAATCGAATAATGCCTAATGGATGATGTAAGCCTACAGAGCTTGAACCTCTGAAAACACACTGTTGGGGAAGAAGCTCAAAGCCCTAAAGGCAATTAAGACAACATTTGCTTATGTATGCTTTATTGTTTAAAATGACTTTTTACCTTTCGATATCAGGGTTATCGTAGATCCCGTAGCCATCAAGAGAGGAACGAGGTCGGAATGGTGATGTGCCCACAAAATATTCCCAGCCAACGACTGAAAATGAATCGATAGTTTTTACTACATGTTTGGGCGATTTGTCCATGCTGTGTTACTGTTACATGTAAAGTCGCGTCTATAGCGTTGTTGAGATACCGTTTGTATCAAGTTATATTAAATCAATATCGATGGAGAGATGTAGATATGATGACTTACTAACACACAGGCTCTATACAACGTTTTTTTCTATATATAAGTGAAATACGTAAAAAAAATGTACTTATGAACTTACTGCCACATTACGGATCTGTTGCCCTGCGATCCCATAAACAATGTCCTGCATGGTTTTAAAGATCCTTGCTTGACGTTCTGAAAGGGTATATTTCTACTTGAAACATAACATTTTAATTTTTCTGCACGTTCGGTGAGAAACATAAGTTTTGGATAAATGTTACGCAGCAATGGTCATGTGCAAACGCCGTTAATTACAATGAATCATAAAAGCAATTTATTCAAAAACATAATGAAACACAAAAAGTCTGCTAAAGCTATTTGACCATAAACCATTTCTCATCTTACATAACAAAAATATATGCTTCCATTCTTAGGTAGTGAATCTTTTCTTCACCTGGGATATTACTGGCTATTTCAGCAAGAAAATCCCCAAATCTCGCGAGACTCACAGCGCCACCTACATGGATCCCCGCGTCATCCTTAACAATTTGTTGCAACTCTGGCACGTGTGTCGCGGCAATCATAACTCGGATATCAGATTTTCCATCTTTCAAGTCCAATGCTAGATACAAATATAACAATGACTATTAACATATAGGGAAATTAAAGTTGATGTCTCTAGTCCAAGTTTTTAAGAACTATACAGTACACTCTATTGAAGCTATACACACCCTTTTGTTTACAAATGAATAAATGTTGGAATTTTAAATTATAAAAAACTTATTATTTAACAAACCTGCTTTTACCTGCAGATAAAAAAATGCATAATTTTAATTTTCTTTACATTTGCACCTTTTTGTAATCTATTCATCTGTATTTAAAGATAGACAGTGCATGTTGTTCAACAGAAGAAGAAGATAAATTCTATGGCAAACAGGGCTCCGTATCTCGAAAGGTTCGCTATGTTGCGCACAAGCGTTAGTGTCTCGATTCCATAACCGATTATATTTCGAGATACGGGGCCATGGAATCGAGACGCACTTGCACGTGCGCAAGTGTCTCGATACCATGGCCCCGTATCTCGAAATAGAATCGGTTATGGAATCGAGACACTAACGCTCGTGCGCAACATAGCGAACCTTTCGAGATACGGAGCCCAGGTCTCTTTGGCTGAACCGCAGTTAACGTTCTTGCATAATTCTAATGCTCTGACTTCTTCACAATATAGAAAAGTGCACATTTCTGTACTCACTCTTCTCCTATCAAAAATTGGCACTGTCGTTTAACAGTCACCAAGTATTCTTTAATCTTTTATTTAATATGTTTAACCCTACAACTACAATTCAATCAAAACCTTTTTATCTAAATGGCTGGAAAACTTGACAAACGTACCAAGACTTGTGCTACCAATGACCAGTCTGGCATCATGGTATTTGTATTTCAATTCCAGAAGCTCCTCCAAACATACTGGTCGAAACCACGTTATCCTTTCGCCCACGAATGTGAGCAATTTTGACTCTAAGGAATTTGCGAGCTGCAATGTCAAGTATGTAATGCTAGGATATGAAAGCAGTAAGTTTTGCAAAATTCACTCTTTACTTTAAAGGTATTATCATGTTGTAACATTTGTAACCGTTACTGTTTTATTTCATTCGGACCTATCTATTTCTACGTCTACTGTATTCAAATGTAATTTTGAGTCGAATCGTTTATCGATTTGGTTAACGTTGTACTGGATTTTGTGCAATATTTCGAACAGGTAAAGTTGTATTCTTCACAAGGAAATCTGCGAGTCCCGTTATGCTGATAACTCACATAGTACACTTACATATACTTCATTTAGACAAATATAACATCATTTCATTTTGTTTTTTAATGGTAAAGCAAATCAAGTAAATATGACCTTTAATTCAGGGGGGAAAATCGGCTCTTGAGTTGAGTCGAAGGGGACATAGTCACGTGACTCAGCACAATCTAATGCAGGTTCGATGGCAGTTGGTTGGTTTTTGCAGCATTGATCCCCCATTAAGCATGATACGTCTCTACTGAACGTTTTAAACCCGTCCAAGATAGGCCTATAGCCAGTGCACCTACACAGGTTTCCTAAAGAGATAAAATAGATTTATAGTAAGCATGAACATTCTGTAATAAAATGCAATGCCACCATTGCCTTTCGCCACCGTTATTGCTGTTTATAAACAACTTGTATTTGCATGATTATTTTTTCCCAGTAAAAGCATGGAAGAAATGAAACCGATCCATTGCACAGTACTGAATTCTGCAAATACGTATATTTTACCCCCCCCCTCCCAAACAAACAAACAAAAAAAAAAAGAAAAAAAAGAAAGAAAGAAAGAAACTTCCCCTGAACTAAAATACGAGGTTCAAACAAAGTACCTTGAAACACATGTTCCACTTCCTCCTCTGTCGGTTTTGGCTTATTCCTTAGTAACGTGTACATTGACATCACCATTCCTGGAGTGCAGAAACCACACTGTGTGCCGTGGGACTTAGCTATTATCTCCTGAAAGCAATGCATCCCTTTTTGAGGAAAAACACGGAAAGAAACTAATTTAAAATGATAATGAGACACGAAGCGAACTCCATTTACAAATTGTCAACGTGCCTTCAAGTCTAAACGCAGTCGAAATAAAGAAAAAAAAGTAAAACATCTTTTCAATTTTTGTCAAATTCGTAAGACCTCGTCTACCCAAACCAACCCTACCTGCACTGGGTGTAGCCTCGTTTTAGTGCTACCAATCCCCTCCACTGTAGTGACAGCGAGGCCATGGAGAGAACATATTGGGACAAGACAGGCATTGGCTGCAAGATGACTGGTTAACAGATAAGGTTTACAACGCAAAAAGATGTCAAGATTAATTATCAAACGTCCACTGTGTGTTGGATACGGTATGGCTCCCTAATGAGAAAGGATTTGAGAAAACAGTGCATAAGGATACAGTATTTTGTCCTGTTCCTGGTCGTACTTTGATATCATCACTGTGCATGTACCACACCCGCCTTCTCCACAGCCAAGTTTTGTGCCAGGAAGACGCACTGAGACACGGAGTTAAGGACGAATGTATCAGTTTCATTTAAGCTGCCAAGGTGTTCGTTTTATGGTTACAATTATGACAAGACGATTAAACAAATATCTGAACGTATAACTACACATAAATCTACCAGTATCACAGAAACGAATATAACATTAACCCATTATAATAACATTTCGAACATATAGTGTTTTAGCTCTCTAAACTATTAGGTGCTGCTTAACTACACTTTTGAATATATAAGTCCTTTATTACTTGATGTTGCAGTTTGCATAAATTGGGCCCAAAAAAGCGGCAAGATTTATATCAACTCAACTCCCCCATATTTACAATGCACCCGTCATCAATGGAATCATGTCTTAATTATATAATGAGTCCTTAATGTTAAGGGGTTTTTAATCTTAAGATCAGTAAGTCTAACAAAAAGCAAAGATAGTGCATTTAATTTCACGTTCATTGGATTACTATAAATATTAATGCAAGCGCAGTCACCAGTCTACTAGCTAGCTAAACCCTTGGTATAAACACATGAAACAGTGAAGGCATAGGAAACAATGAAGCCATTAAGACATAGATACAGTTTTTTTTTATATTGCAATATTTTTAATATTCAGTTAAAACGAAAGGATACGTTTAGAGCGCAGATACTGCAGCAAGGTTGTCTCCGGGTCGGCATTGCTTTCTGTTACCTTTGGATAACAAATCAAATTCCGCAATATATATATACATGTACCCTTGGACGAATAAAACGTTTTATTCCTTAAATTTTTGCTCATTATTTGGCATGTTGTATTTGTGATCGAGAAAATTTGACACCAATTTTTAGTATAAATAGTAACTTAAGCTAGCCGTTCATACGGAATTACTTCATAAAAAGCACAGGTGATGTAACTTGTGCCAGCCCAGTTTATTTTAAAGTCATTTGCAGCCTTCTCTCCTGAAAATAAAGTGCTTTCAAACAATTATAGAGGCGTTGCGGTGAAGGCGTTTTAGGTTTGTCATTCTCATCATGTTTATTGTACATGTATTATGCAGTTAAGTTGTTGTGTAAAGAAATCCTGCGTGGTAAGGATATGATTGCAGAGACATGATGGCTGNAAGATTATCTCATCAGATCCAATATTCCACTTTTTGCGACTAACGAAAAATGTGTTGTCCATAAGAGCATCTCTCCGACCACGTTCTAAAAATCAAATTAATATTGTTTGGTAAAATGTGCACAAAATAAGAACAAAATAAGAACATGCAATGGAAACAGAACAAAAGATGTTTATCACGGCGATGGTAGCTGAAGCATTTTTTATTATGTCAGGATAGGCCTACGTCAAGTAAAGACAAATAGGTAATAAAAGTAGGTGCCATATATGCAACTGATGTTAAATATGGAACCCTGCAATGCTGAGTTTAACAATGACAAATCGAATAATGCCTAATGGATGTTGTAAGCCTACAGAGCTTGAACCTCTGAAAACACGCTGTTGGGGAAGAAGCTCAAAGCCCTAAAGGCAATTAAGACAACATTTGCTTATGTATGCTTTATTGTTTAAAATGACTTTTTACCTTTCGATATAAGGGTTATCGTAGATCCCGTAGCCATCAAGAGAGGAACGAGGTCGGAATGGTGATGTGCCCACAAAATATTCCCAGCCAACGACTGAAAATGAATCGATAGTTTTTACTACATGTTTGGGCGATTTGTCCATGCTGTGTTACTGTTACATGTAAAGTCGCGTCTATAGTGTTGCTGAGATACCGTTTGTATCAAGTTATATTAAATCAATATCGATGGAGAGATGTAGATATGATGACTTACTAACACACAGGCTCTATACAACGTTTTTTTCTACATATAAGTGAAATACGTAATAAATATGTACTTATGAACTTACTGCCACATTACGAATCTGTTGTCCTGCGATCCCATAAACAATGTCCTGCATGGTTTTAAAGATCCTTGCTTGACGTTCTGAAAGGATATATTTCTACTTGAAACATAACATTTTAATTTTTCTACACGTTCGGTGGGAAACATAAGTTTTGGATAAATGTTACGCAGCAATGGTCATGTGCAAACGCCGTTAATTACAATGAATCATAAAAGCAATTTATTCAAAAACATAATGAAACACAAAAAGTCTGCTAAAGCTATTTGACCATAAACCATTTCTCATCTTACATAACAAAAATATATGCTTCCATTCTTAGGTAGTGAATCTTTTCTTCACCTGGGATATTACTGGCTATTTCAGCAAGAAAATCCCCAAATCTCGCGAGACTCACAGCGCCACCTACATGGATCCCCGCGTCATCCTTAACAATTTGTTGCAACTCTGGCACGTGTGTCGCGGCAATCATAACTCGGATATCAGATTTTCCACCTTTCAAGTCCAATGCTAGATACAAATATAACAATGACTATTAACATATAGGGGAATTAAAGTTGATGTCTCTAGTCTAAGTTTTTAATAACTATACAGTACACTCTATTGAAGCTATACACACCCTTTTGTTTACAAATGAATAAATGTTGGAAATTTAAATTGTAAAAAACTTATTATTTAACAAACCTGCTTTTACCTGCAGATAAAAAATGCATAATTTTAATTTTCTTTACATTTGCACCTTTTTGTAATCTATTCATCTGTATTTAAAGATAGACAGTGCATGTTGTTCAACAGAAGAAGAAGATAAATTCTATGACAAACAGGGCTCCGTATCTCGAAAGGTTCGCTATGTTGCGCACGAGCGTTAGTGTCTCGATTCCATAACCGATTCTATTTCGAGATACGGGGCCATGGTATCGAGACACTTGCGCAGATACTTTCGAGATACGGAGCCCAGGTCTCTTTGGCTGAACCGCAGTTAACGTTATTGCATAATTCTAATGCTCTGACTTCTTCACAATATAGAAAAGTGCACATTTCTGTACTCACTCTTCTCCTATCAAAAATTGGCACTGTCGTTTAACAGTCACCAAGTATTCTTTAATCTTTTATTCAATATGCTTTACCCTACAACTACAATTCAATCAAAACCTTTTTATCTAAATGGCTGGGAAACTTGACAAACGTACCAAGACTTGTGCTACCAATGACCAGTCTGGCATCATGGTATTTGTATTTCAATTCCAGAAGCTCCTCCAAACATACTGGTCGAAACCACGTTATCCTTTGGCCCTTGAATGTGAGCAATTTTGACTCTAAGGAATTTGCGAGCTGCAATGTCAAGTATGTAATGCTAGGATATGAAAGCAGTAAGTTTTGCAAAAGTCACTCTTTACTTTAAAGGTATTATCTTGTTGTCATATTTGTAACCGTTACTGTTTTATTTCATTCGGACCTATCTATTTCTACGTCTACTGTATTCAAATGTAATTTTGAGTCGAATCGTTTATCGGTTTGGTTAACGTTGTACTGGTTTTTGTGCAATATTTCGAACAGGTAAAGTTGTATTCTTCACAAGGAAATCTGCGAGTCCCGTTATGCTGATAACTCACATAGTACACTTACATATACTTCATTTAGACAAATATAATATCATTTCATTTTGTTTTTTAATGGTAAAGCAAATCAAGTAAATATGACCTTTAATTCAGGGGGGAAAATCGGCTCTTGAGTTGAGTCGAAGGGGACGTAGTCACGTGACTCAACACAATCTAATGCAGGTTGGATGGCAGTTGGTTGGTTTTTGCAGCATTGATCCCCCAATAAGCAAGATGCGTCTCTGCTGAACGTTTTGAACCCATCCAAAATAGGCCTATAGCCAGTGCACCTACACAGGTTTCCTAAAGAGATAAAATAGATTTATAGTAAGCATGAACATTCTGTAATAAAATGCAGTGCTACTATTGCCTTTCGCCACCGTTATTGCTGTTTATAAACAACTTGTATTTACATTATAATTTTTCCCAAAAAAGGATGGAAGAAATGAAACCGACCAGTTGCGCAGTACTGAATTCTGCAAATACGTAATATCACCGGTATTTTTACCCCCCCCCCCCTAAAAAAAAATAATAAAATAGAATAAAGAAACTTGCCCTGAACTGAAATATGAGGTTCAAACAAAGTACCTTGAAACACATGTTCCACTTCCTCCTCTGTTGGTTTTGGCTTATTCCTTAGTAACGTGTACATTGACATCACCATTCCTGGAGTGCAGAAACCACACTGTGTGCCGTGGGACTTGGCTATTATCTCCTGGAAGCAATGTATCCGTTTTTGTGGAAAAGCACCGAAAGAAACTTATTTAAAATGATCATGAGACTCGAAGCGAACTCCATTTACAAACTGTCAACGTGCCTTCAAGTCTAAACGCAGTCGAAAAAAGAAAAAAATCAAAACATCTTTTCAATTTTTGTCACATTCGTAAGACCTCATCTGCCCAAATCCACCCTACCTGCACTGGGTGTAGCCTCGTTTTCGTACTACCAATCCCCTCCACTGTAGTGACAGCGAGGCCATGGAGAGAACATATTGGGACAAGGCAGGCATTGGCTGCAAGATGACTGGTTAACAGATAAGGTTTACAACGCAAAAAGATGTCAAGATTAATTATCAAACGTCCACTGTGTGTTGGATACGGTATGGCTCCCTAATGAGAAAGGATCTGAGAAAACAGTGCATAAGGATACAATATTTTGTCCTGTTCCTGGTCGTACTTTGATATCATCACTGTGCATGCACCACACCCTCCTTCTCCACAGCTAAGTTTGGTGCCAGGAAGACGCACTGAGACACGGAGTTAAGGACGAATGTATCAGTTTCATTTAAGCTGCCAAGGTGTTCGTTTTATGGTTACAATTATGACAAGACGATTAAACAAATATCTGAACGTATAACTACACATAAATCTACCAGTATCACAGAAACGAATATAACATTAACCCATTATAATAACATTTCGAACATTTAGTGTTTTAGCTCTCTAAACTATTAGGTGCTGCTTAACTACACTTTTGAATATATAAGTCCTTTATTACTTGATGTTGCAGTTTGCATAAATTGGGCCCAAAAAAGCGGCAAGATTTATATCAACTCAACTCCCCCATATTTACAATGCACCCGTCATCAATGGAATCATGTCTTAATTATATAATGAGTCCTTAATGTTAAGGGGTTTTTAATCTTAAGATCAGTAAGTCTGACAAAAAGCAAAGATAGTGCATTTGATTTCATGCTCATTGGATTACTATAAATATTAATGCAAGGGCAGTCACCAGTCTACTAGCTAGCTAAACCCTTGGTATAAACACATGAAACAGTGAAGGCATAGGAAACAATGAAGCCATTAAGACATAGATACAGTTTTTTTTTATATTGCAATATTTTTAATATTCAGTTAAAACGAAAGGATACGTTTAGAGCGCAGATACTGCAGCAAGGTTGTCTCCGGGTCGGCATTGCTTTCTGTTACCTTTGGATAACAAATCAAATTCCGCAATATATATATATACATGTACCCTTGGACGAATAAAACGTTTTATTCCTTAAATTTTTGCTCATTATTTGGCATGTTGTATTTGTGATCGAGAAAATTTGACACCAATTTTTAGTATAAATAGGAACGTAAGCTAGCCGTTCATACGGAATTACTTCATTAAAAGCACAGGTGATGTAACTTGTGCCAGCCCAGTTTATTTTAAAGTCATTTGCAGCCTTCTCTCCTGAAAATAAAGTGCTTTCAAACAATTATAGAGGCGTTGCGGTGAAGGCGTTTTAGGTTTGTCATTCTCATTATGTTTATTGTACATGTATTATGCAGTTAAGTTGTTGTGTAAAGAAATCCTGCGTGGTAAGGATATGATTGCAGAGACATGATGGCGGACGAGCGTATTTAGTATGAGTCTTGGACACTATAGCCTATAATTTACAATATCCTGTCTGGCTCTAAAGTTGTACCTGTATGTCTTTTAATACGTTTCAAGCAGTAGTCGTTAAGTTTTGTGGCAAAAATGACTTTAATTGCATCTGTAGGCCTTTGCTCACCACAAATGTGCAAATTAAACGTTGACATTGGAATGCACCACTGAATATTAAGTACTTTGAAAAGCATAATATTGGGAGCCCGAACAATTTACCACCAATAAATGAATGAGTTAATTAGCATTAGTATTAAAGCGAAAGCTCCGTTTCAATATTTAAGACGTGTAATAGCTGGGTAGGTTAGCGTACATGCATCATTCTTTTCATGACATGATTACATACATGCAGGCGCCCGTATGCCAGTACAATGTGCTACCTGGAAAGCCCGCTTTTTGCTACTTATTTCTAGTCCTGGTTGTCTGTCATTTCTTAATTTAGTTGGCAAATTATGTTGCACTGCTTGGCTTAGTAGTTTGGCTTCTTGCTACACTCCCGTTTGTTTTTATCAGCTTTTTGAAATCTGACAATTTCATATAAGTTTTTTTGTCTGTAACCACTGCTTAATGGCTGCCAATCGGACAACTGACCTATTTCAGCGCTGCAATTCTACGCAATCTCACGCTTGTCCCTATACACAAGAGCTAAACCTGGTCACTGGGTCAAACATGAGCAGATTATTGTTTGAAGTAACGTATTACATATCTCTCTCTGGTGCTGTATGGTCCGATTCCTTGCTGTGTTCCATATTACATATCACATATAGGCCTACTAATTATAAATGCTAATACACTGGATATCACAGCTGTAAACTTGCATAAGTTTAGTCTGCATATGCAAAATAAAAAATGACGGTTCAAAAATGCATAAGTCACCACCTTTGTAGCGTCTTATTACCTTTTTTCCATTCACGAAAAATACGAGGTCGTCTACCTCCATTCTGTCTGCAGTTGGTGACCTTTACGGTTAATATCCGGGTTAAAGATATACAAATATGGATTCCGAAAACGACCTGAAAAGCAGTCAGAGAGCGTAAACCTCCGTCAAGGCAAACCAATTATATACACTGCTGTGAGCAACATGCGCTGTCCATCGTAATCCCCCTATCATTAACTCTGTCGGGGACGTGCGCATTAGCGCGTCTGATGTAGACAGCGTGTGCTATTAAAGTGACCGGGGACTTATTAGCTATAGTGTAGTTATTTATTTATTTATTTATTTATTTATTTATGCACAGACAAATAAATACACAAACTAATGGCAAGCAAAACATGACCGCCTTGAAGGAGGGAAATATAATACAATGTAGTAAAGCAGAGGGAGTGGGTGTGCAGATGCCAAGTACCCGGTACCCCTGAAATCTTGATTATTTATTATCATACACTGCAATAACTGAAGGATCCAGGGTTCTCTTAAACTGTGGTGGTGGTGGTGTGTGTGTGTGTGGTGGGGGGGGGGGGGGGGGGGGGAGGAATAAAACACTTCTCGGCGAATCGACGAATTAAAAAAGTGGACGGGGAGAATTTTACTGTATGGAACATGACGGACATGTAAAGGGCGGTGAAATTGATTGCTAGACTTCGTAATTTGTTCTACCAACGAACTTTTGCAAATGAGCAGTATTTGGTTTTCCTCAGTTAAAGGACATCTGTACATGTATGTTTCAACGCTGAGGAAACCACAGCATGGAAATTCAAATACAAATAGTTCAAGTTTATATAAACAGTTCCACTTCAAATAAGCATTGTAAAAATCATTATCTATTTCTTCAAACTTTTTTCTTTCAAGTGAACAATGTCTGCCCGAGGTTACATTAGGGCCGGGCCCTATATATAAGCTATATATATAATAAGCTTATTTTTGTTAATCACCATTAACTTGGTATATTGCTCTGACTGTGACAAGCCCATGAATATGTCGTCTTGGTTATCGCAATTTGTATGGATGACCAATACAGTTTATTTACCAGCAAATATTTTGTCTGAAGGAAAACAGTTCCAGTGTTCAGATCATGCAGAATGGCAAGGAACAGACCCAATGGTAATTACTTTCGGAAATTTAGGGTTTGTAACAACCCCAATATTTTGCACACGCAAAAACAGAATAGCATGTTCATTTCTAAACGTACTTTCAGGCCAGACGTTATGGACTACAAGAAAATGGGTCCTATTTGTCTTATTAAACCTATTGTCCACCAAGGTATGAAGGAGTGACAACTGATATTGATTGGTTCATGTGATTTGTGATGTAGTTTTCAAAAATTAGAATATCTTACATATATGTATCCTATTTATCAACTGAAAATATATAAAAGTGCTAAAATGTTTTGTTAAATGTAGTGACGATAAATTCACAGCCAGGTTACTTCAATACATAGGGTACCATTCCATGTAGAAATCCTGTGTGACATACAAAGCTTGAACAATTAACATGTAACTATAATAATTTAGCATGGTATCTGGCAAATCAGAGGCCTAGAATTCTATTAGGGAAACAATATTAATAATAATAATAATAATAATAATAATAATAATAATAATAATAATAATAATAATAGTTATTATTATTGTTGTTATAATTAGTAGTAGTAGTAGTAGTACTAGTAGTAGTAATAGTAGCAGCAGCAGCAGCAGCAGCAGCATTTCCCTTCTGCCAACATGCCTAATTTGCACTCTATTAGTCGCATAAGACCTGTATAACCATGATCGGCTACAGGTGTCAGGTTTGATAGGTTAATGTCTTTATTCAAAGCCCATACTTTGACCTACTGTGTTTGCTATGATAGATGACAAAACCATGGATATGTGAGAAGATGGCTATTATTGTTATGCATGTACTTGTGATTTACATAACAACAGTATAGTGACGCCCATTCAAGACTCCCCCATTTAAAGTCACTCCGTGCATCTCAAATTGCTCTGTCTCAGTTGCTGCTATCCTCTTTTTAAAGTGAGTTTTTTTTTCATTAGATTCATTACATTAATCATAGAATGAACAATATTAAACTATAAGCATCCAATGTCAACAAGTAATGTCTTACCTGCTCACCCCTGTCATGTCAAAGGTTAAATATCGAGTTGACAGTTTGACAGTTGACGATCTATACACCTCAGGCGTATCAGAATATTGGTCATTCACCCTGTATTATCTTCTTGTTCAAAATTTAAAAAATACGAACAGCTCTGCACATTTACAGCTTTATTACCATTTAAAGTTTGGTGTTTTGTAAAATAAATTCTGTTAAGTTGAGAGAATTTATAAAACCGTTATTTCATTGAAGATGGTGTATTTGCAACCTATTTTATTTTGATCTTTTTTCATTAGCAGTATTTTTTATTTTATTTTATTTTATTTTATTTTATTTTATTTTATTTTATTTTGAATCAGTTCTACATCACCTTTCTGTAAGTACACTGCACTAAGCAAAATATCGAGCATGTTATTTTGAGGCATAACAATCGAATTAGGAATACCCCGGGTTAATAAGACGGTATTTAGTTATAAATCCTTATTCTTTCACCAACGATTACATGTACCACACTGCCGTATGTAACAAATACTAACGCCCGTTTAAGTGAGAAAAAAGTGATTAAACGCGTGGTTACACGTTTCATATCAGTTTTAACTTAACTTAAAAGAATAAAAGTCTACCATCTGATCACTTAGCATTGATTGGGCACGTTTCACGAAAATAAATTGAGCATAAAAAAATGCTCTAAACATTCGGACCAAAATTTAAGTTTCCTTTGGTCCAGTATAAATTTGAACATTTATTAGTCGAATCAAACGATTTTTGTTTTATATCAAGAAAGACATGGCTGATCTTTAAAACCCAGTGATATAGAAGTCTTAGCCGCCCTAGGGAACAATTACACTTTCCTCCGGTCTATTTTAGACAAGTTGTGGGCACGTTTATTGAAGTGCACAGAATAGTGAATACACTGAGGTCGGTTAACACGTCATATGATGAGCAAAGTCAGCAGTGCAGAACGCATCTTTCTTTCCATTTGAAAAGGCCTTGTACATTATACCAGATCCTTTTCATGGGACACATGATATTCAGCTTTGTGGTTGACACGAAAAATGGCGACGAGGAGATAGAGAGGTCGCGAAAAGAGATTTTTAGAACAGCTGTTTGACAAATAGACTTCACTAAAGTGCACCCATCTCATATCCGAGTTTGGAAGAAGCGTTACGTTGAGAAACAGAAGATGTAGATGCGTTTTTGAAGAGGTGACGGTATATCGTATGTAGAATTTATAGGCAACAGGTGTGTCTTCATTGCACAAGATGACACCGGGGATTCGATTCTAGGAATACGGCTTGTCAGTTATCAGGAGTTTAAATCACACAACGTACAGACATCTAGTCATAGGAACTACAAAGCACAGATTTTAGAAATGAAGCCCGGTGTGGTAATTCTTAACGTATGTGTTTTGGTGGCGCTGTGTGGGGAAAGCATATGTATCCCTTCATCACGAGTGGGCGACAAAGAGAAAAAAGTTGTAAACACACTGGAAAAAATCCTCCTTCATCTGAACTCGGGAACTAATTCTGACGTTTCAACGGGTAAACGGTCCGATGAAAACACAGCTAAGCTAAAGAAGGCGGAAAAAGAACTGAGTGAATTATTGGCAGACGACAAAGCTGTAGCAGACGACAAGTCCCAAAAGCTGAACACTGCAGACGAGAGTGAAAAGACGGACAAACTGTCACTTGATTTTGACAATATTGCTCAGGATAAGGACATAACCTTTAAAGATGTTCGTCTCAATACGAAAGCTGATATTGAAATGTCGGGAAAGGAAAAGGTAATATTTAAACATATCAAGATGGCAAAATGGCTGGGCCTCATAACAACTGGTATCAGTGATTTGCTGTAAAGAGGTGTGGGTACATGTACACTTCGGAGACACGTTCATCTTTTACTAAATCGATGGGGGGGGGGGGGATTGAAATCTGTATTGTTGTTAGTTATTTCATTCATTGTCTTCTGTTGGCCTATACCCGCTGATATCAGGGGTTCTATTATAGTGCGCAAAATTACAGTATGCCATACAACATTTTTTGTAACAGGTTACTAGAACACCCTATATTCAGAGAGTAATGTTGACCCAGTAAAAACGAAACGCAGGTCTCTCTCTCTCTCTCTCTCTCTCTCTCTCTCTCTCTCCATCAATTGTCTTCAGAGGTGCTTTTTTCGGGAAATGTGAATCCCCCCAATCACCAATCCTTTATACTCATTTAATTAATTCCAAGGGCAAATCAAAGATACATGTAGTAACATGTGAAAGCTCTTCTTTCTATTCCGGAGAACGTAGAGGTGGCCATATTGTACGTATTTACGCCCATTTATTACATTATCATTGAAGAATAATTACCCAACGAATTACACTTCATCGTGGCGTGAAGGAATACCTGAATTCTTTAAAGCTATCGGGTAGAAAAAGGCGTATATTTTTAGGTTGAATAGCTGGCAGTTTATTTGTCATGTATTTTTAAATAATTAATAAAGTTAGTATTTTTAAGGTAAACATGGCTTTATTGATAACGCACTGATCAGAAAATAAGTATTAGTCTTATGTAACTGGTGATTTCACATTTTATTTTACTCACGTACAAACACTTGACATACATGGCTTAGAATTGTTCACATTGATAACAAGCCATGGAATACTAGTACTATGCTAAGCACAGAGAAAATGAAAACCATAACTGAGAACTAAAAATGCAGCTACTTACAGACCAGCTGTGAATTTTAATGGTGGTTAGTATATTTTTCAACAAGTAAATTTTCTGAATTATTTCAAACTGTAAAAGTGATCTCTTGGAGGGCATTGTTTGCCCACAGAAGTCGCTGATTACATGGGTTTCACAAAGGTCAGTTTTAACTAACTTTGCCAAGGTATCGATTCCTACATGTACCTTATTTGAGGGGGGGGGGGGAGGGGGGGCACATCCACAACAAGAAGCGGAACGTTTAGAGTGTATGCATTATATCATTTTATTGCCTGGGGGGGGATCTCAAATCAAGATAATACAAGATAATTAAAGCCCCATGAATTCCAGACTTCGCATCTCCGTGTGATGTATAATTACGTTGTGAGGAGGCGGTATCACGTCAAGAAAGCCCTCTGTAATACTGGGTGCAGTTCCCATTTATTTGCGCAGCTGACCCCCGTCCAAGATTTTGACCAAATTACGTCACACTAATCTATATAAATATATTATATATCAATCACCTTGCTTCATGGGCCTACAATTCACAGTACATATATTAAAAAAAAAAAAAAAAAAAAAGCAGATTAAGAATGAAAGGTGGACTCTCTGTTGCACTAAACCCCTGTTTCTTTACAGCTGTCTCCCGCAATTTTAAGAATAATGATATTTGAAAATTGTGTATTATAGGCGGCATTTCTCAGTGACTTGGAGGAGTACCTGCACGGGCAGACGCTAGAGCAGCGTATGAAGGTATGGGAGGGGATGGCCAACCTCCGGGATAAGATGCTGGAGAAAAAAGGCGGAGTAGTAAAGGTAATTAAAAATGGACAATTCTTAAGTTGGGGTTAAAATAAGTCCCGGACGTCATCCTAAAAACAAGGTTTGAAATATCTGAATCGTCGAGAATCTTTTGACTTATTATATACATGTAACACATTTACCGGCAAGTTTTAAAACCGATTTACACGTGTATCAAAAAGATTATAATTTACTTGGTCTTTTCTGCAAAATGTTTGAAATAAAGCGACAGCTCGCCAGGTTATGAGGGATTAATTCAAGTTTGCCATATTTCTCAGATAAGTATTTTTCTTTAGTTGTTTTCCGATAACATTTGTGTAGGAAGGACTGCTACTTGCAACTTTTACACGAATTACCTGCACATTCAATCTATAAATAATGGTTATTTAGGTTCTTTCTACGTTTTGCTAACCATTTATGATATTATTTTTAAACAATTAAAAATAATATCATACGATAATTAAAATTCTAGAAACAGCTTAGCACATTCAACATTGAGGATAACGATCTCTTCGAGGGCGACATCGTGCTCGACACTAAAGATATCAATGATATAGAAGACAATCTAGAGCAAGAAAAGCTTGCAGAAGACCCCAATGCTATATTGAAGACAAAAGTCAGAGCACTGGTGAAAAAACTTACGAGCGATGACTTAAATGACAAGGAAGAAAAGCTGCTGCAAAGCTTACGCGAAGCAGAAAAACACACCCACTCGGAAAAATACAAAGACGCTGCAAGAAAACGGGACTTTCTGGATGACGATGTTACGGAAGAGGACGCTTTGGCGGACACTTTAGAAACCGTTTTATTGTCAACTGCAAAATTTATGGACGCTAGAGATGAGCGCGCAGCAGACGATATTGACAAAAAGATGTACCCCGAGGAAAAATGGGATATGCCAATACGATATCGTTTTGACGGGACCCATAGTAAGTATTGGAAATCTAGCTGATGCTTTAAACTAACAATCTGCCTTATGCAGAGGCAACTTTGCCAGAAAAAATTAAACATGTAGTTTGTAACATTAGACAGTCTTTTCGATGTAATCTGCTCAATTTACATTGTCTCCCACCCACTGTATCCGTATTGGAAATCTAAGGCCTGTTGGAAGTATACGGTTACTCATCCGCCCCTGTTATTAACTTACCTGCTTTTTTAGTTCGTGTGGTAGGGCATAAAGATAAAATGAGGGAAAAAACAGTTGACGATGGTCATTTTGCTATTAGTGTAGGCTACAGGTTTGAAATAATTGCTTTGTTTTGTCTCGGCCCGTTATACTGTTTTTTTTTTAATTTATTTTTGAAGGATTGATATACATAATTGAAGGAATGGGTACCTTTGAAACCTAAATGCCCGGTGCGCTCTTCCCCCCCCCCCCGCCCCCTCCCCCCGATTAGCCGTAGTCTGAGCCTGCTGTGACTGAAGAGTAGCAGTTTGGCGCTATCGTGTTTCCTTTTGATGCCGTCAAAATCGACCATCCTAATTTCAAGTGTAATGCTGATACCGTCCAAAATTCGCTGAAAATGATCATATTACTATAATATTTAAATTTGAGCCTAGTGAAAAACACGCCAGTTCCTTTGTTCTAGGATTGTTATCAGTTGGTGAATTTAGAGGCTGTAGGAATCATATGTCAATTTACAATGAATGGTGTATTTACTTGGGTTTTGCTTTCAACATATAAAATTTAAAATAATAAAGCTACCACAGAAGAATCCTGGTTTTATCCATGTTAACGGTGAATGTATTTGTATACGTGGAAAACATTGTTTAAAATAAGTATTTGGAAAATAAATGACACCATATATTTCTAGACGAAAAAGAACAGCATATTATCCACCTGGGCATCCAACTTTGGGAAAACAACACGTGTGTACGGTTCAAGTTTGAAGAAGGCACTGATCATATACCGGGGGACAATATAAGGTTTCACAAGGGAAAGGGGTAAGTACGATGAAATTTTCGGTTAACTTACTGACTTAGCCCAGGGCTCGGAATCTCGAAAGGTTCGCTATGTTGCGCACGCGCTATAGCATAGCTAGCGTGCGCTATTTGCTAGTGCGATTGCACCCACCTGCTGTCTCGAAGCCTTAGCAAACGCAACGCAATTATAACCTCAAACTCTACTAATATTCGATTGCCGCATAAAGTGAAGACGTCATAACACAATTACACAAAATGCAATTTTTTTCACCATGACGCAAATCAAGAGGTTGTTTTTATTTATAGGAATATCATAATTACAAATACTGATATTTGAAGTATTTGACACCAATAAAATGTCAAAAAACAATTCAATAAGCGAAGCTTGGACTGACACAATTACTGACACAATGGTGAGTAGTGTTCAGTCTCACAATAATAGACATTGAGGAAGGTCAGGGTGCGACTGAATGCTTTGTTTCTGCTTTTTCATTTTGTGTGGAAAATGACACTTTTAAATTTATTATTATTATCAATAGACTACACAGATGAATGAAATTCACCAGAAAATATAAAATGATGTATGAAATGTTTAATTTTGAAATTTTTCTGCATAATAAAATATGACTTTGGCATTCTTCACGTGAATATTTACCGCAAGTTTTTCTATCAGAGGTACCAGTGATTCAATCAATTAAAAGCTTCCATGTTTTTGTTATATGTTTTATTATATGCTATTATGACTAGCAACCCAAACTTGCCACCATGTTTAATTACATGAAAGACACATTAAAATGACGAATTTTGCATACGCAGAGGCCTTTGCGACTAGTTTGTATAGCCGCAAATAATAGCCTCGAAACTAATGGCGATTTGGACATTAGCGCACGGCCGGGATTTGCGAAGCTTTCGAGATATGGGATAGCGCACAATAGCCATGCTAGCGCAGGCGCTCAAAATAGCGATTCTTTCGAGATACGGGATAGCGCACGCTAGCCATGCTAGAGCGTGTGCGCAACATAGCGAACCTTTCGAGATTCCGAGCCCAGGTCTTTTCTCACAGATGCACTTATATAGAACCGACAATTTAGTCGACTTTGACCCGAGATAAATCAGTTGTCCACTAAACCCAAATATTGTACCTGTTATGTGAACTATGACAGCTATTATACTGGACAACATACAGGGTCAAACAGAAATGAGTCCGTCAACACTTAATTCCTGAAGGACGGCAAATGCAAAGGAAACTTTCTTAAATTTGAGATGGTATACTTCGGATTTCCATAAAAGTTTTCAGTCTAAAATGTGAGGCAAACCTTTGATTCTCGTAAATCTGGCAGCAGATTGCTAAACATAAGGTAATGATTGTAAAGACCTGAGCGCTTCTTTGGGAAAGCCTGTCGGCTGGTGGCGTCATTTAGTCTGTATCCGGTCATAGTTAGAACTTTCGTGAAAACCACCATGGTATAACTGAGGGAAGGGCAGCCAGTAACGTGGTCTTAGCAAACTGGAGTTAATTGAGCAAAAACAACCTGCCAGAAAGTTGGTCGTATTCAACTCCACTGTGATTATATCCAATTTTAAAGAAATGTCGCATCGCCTTGTTGCAGAAAGGGTTTATGGTTTCAGACCTTCACCCCGATTGTTCTTCATATTCGAGCCTCATTGCACGTGTAAACAAGGCCACTTGGCCAAACGATCTTGCCAACAACCGTTGCATGTTGCTGGCTTTTTTTCAATTTGAAACATTAAGTCCACTTCTTATGATGGTGTGTTTTATTCCATTTTTTTATAGGTGCTCATCATCGGTTGGTGAAAAATCGGGAAGTAACCACATTACACTGGGCGAAGGATGCTTCTTGGTAAATCTATAAAATCATTCCTTTTTATAGTGTTCGAAATATCTTATACAGAAAAAAATGAATCTAGGAATATATTATTGTTTTATTGGTTGCTTCTATAACACAAAAAAAACTCGATCTATAATTACTACCCAGTAATTACCATAAGACAACAGCAGCGTCTTACATTTGTATTATATCTCCAGCCGGCGAGAGTTGCCCACGAGATCGGCCACACCCTGGGGTTCTGGCACGAGCAGAGTCGCCCCGACAGGGACAAATACGTTTCCGTCAACACGGACATCCTGAAGGACGACAAGTACGAGATCAACTTCCTAAAAATGTCCTGGAAGATGGAAGACCCGAAGGGTGTCGAGTACGACATGTCGTCTGTCATGCATTACGGTGGAAATGTTAGTATATAAACCACTTAATTGGTTGAATATATATTTATTCTTTATATCTGTAGTCGATTAACACACGGCAGTAAATATTTAAGTTCCGGTTCTGAGTAGATAATTCTCCGTTCATCCCTTATGTAATAACGAGATTAAGACCCCATTCCCAGAGATTAGATCGATCCAAACTAGATCGACCTAACTCCCTGGGGGTTCACGCTAAATAGATGTCAGCCGACCGGCCCCAAAAATTAATTACCCCCTTACAGCTTGTAGTAGGCGGGACGGACATTTAAGCCGGATTATCTGATAGTAATTTAGTGAGACTCCCCACGGGGATAGATCGATCTAAATGTCTGGGAATACGCCCTTAAACTACTCAACTTTAAATGCGATAGTTAAATCATTCTGCGCTATAGATCACTGCCATTGTCTGTAAATGTATTAGGATGAAGAGTTGTCAACCTCCTAATGATGACCTTCACTGGCCATGGATCTGTTGTTTAATGCACATTTTATCATCAACAGCATTTACATGTAAATAATACCTGCCAAAAGAAATTAATGAGAAAGTTCGGTTGCACTGACGTCACATTAGATACATTGTAGAACTAGAACATATCATTTAAAGTTTCATAAGTCCTAAAATGGAAGAATAAAAATGACAAGCGTTGAGGGAAATGTAAAGAGAGATTACTTACACTTGTATATCTACTATATTTCAGTACTTTATAAAGCCCGGTGCTCGAGGCTTTACCCTGGTAACCAAGAACCCGGATATGCAGAAAGTGATTGGTCAGCGGTTTTACCTATCCTTCCTGGATGTAAAGGCAGTAAACTACCGATACTGCTCAGGTAAAGTGTGTGATTTGAGATTTGCATAGATAATAAAAACCAAAGAAAGTACTGCATTTGATGGACATGTTACTACTACAGGGGTATGAACAAGATTCCCCTTACGCCTTCGCTATAAGTGTTTGATTACAAATCTTATTGAATTTATACTTATAAACTGATTAAATCGGGATTTTTAGATTGAAAACAAAGAACCACACTTACAAACACGCACTCGCACGCGAGCACACATACACAAACACACACACACACACACACACACACACACAATCACATACTAGTCACGGAGAGTTGACCTATATTCCTAGACACGTGCAGTACTCCCAGTCTGATATGGGACAAGTGTGAGCACGAGGGCTACCGTGACCCAAAGAACTGTGACCAGTGCAGATGTCCGCAGGGATGGACTGGAAAGTACTGCCAGGACGTGGACAGCGGTTAGTAGAAAATTGAGATGAATATCTAGTAACATGGTATTGCTTGTAACGAATCAAACTGTTATTCATTTTCGTACGTATATTTATTTCCTTGATGTCCCGTGTTCATGACAAAGCATTTAACCATCAGAATGTATTGACACTTTTGTCACTGTATAATCCCAATGATTTAAATGATTGTAATCCCAGTGATTTACCCAAAAATACGCAGTATTACTAAGTTGTCATATCCGGATTTTCCTCTTTGAGTTCTTTAGTCGTATATTCATTTTCTTGACAAAAAATATATATCTACATACAACAGCAGTCTTATATAATCATATAATACTAGATCACAACCATGTTTTTTACTCAGAATGGCTTGTTTTATCTTCGACTTAGGCTCATGCTCTGACACTTCATTGATTGCTACAACAGAACCCAAGTTTCTGACGTCCCCTGGGTATCACGACAGCGGCTATTCTAAAGGGCAGTACTGTGCCTGGTTGATTACGGTAATATCACTTCTTTCCAGAAATCGTAACTTAGTTGATCACTTTTGTTTATCACGTCGGTCTGATCATCAAATCATCTAGGGACAACATTTCATTATTTCGCAGGTCACTGTTGTTGTGCCTACTTATTTTCAGTAACTTTTTGATGTTATCCATAACTGCATTTTAAACACTAGAAATACTTACAAGTAAAACCCCAGTAGTGTTAAAATACAATGGTACATGCGTGTACCTTTTAAAGAAAGGTATAAATATCAACAAAAATAATTAGATCAAGCTTCTTATCCAATGTCTTTTAGTAACGTCACTAACCACGTTCTTTTACTAAGGCTCCAGAAGGCATGCGCGTGACCGCCAAGTTTGTTGGAGATTTCGCTGTCCGCTCTGACTCCAACCTGAGCTGCGAACACCCTTTCTGCCAGGACTGGGTGGAGGTGAGATACCTGTCTCTGGCGCAGACAGGACCAAGGTAGGGCCTGCCAGTATTACACCGCTCTTATTAACTTAATCCATGATTAATTGCACTGAGAAAAAATACAAAAAACACGGAAAACGGAGAGTTCCAAGTAAAAGTTAACTGATCATTTGGGAATGATTATAGTTGACAATACCTTAGGTTTGGGTTTCTTAAATGACATTTTGATTTTTTCATTTATAACTCTCCACATCAACTGAAACCCGCAACCGCTCCTGCGTTGTGCAGCCTAGGGTGCATTGTTATAACCTTTTATTTTTCACAGATTACTATATACAGTGTTTCGCTCCTTTCTACATTGGCTGGGCATATCTATTCCTCCACTGACTGGCGCCAAGTTGTCTTAAGCCACCCTGGCCTTTCTCTCTGTCCACTGCCAAATAGCAATTCTTTTTCTAAATGAAGTTTGTTCACAAGAAACAGAGGCAAAATACAAGAAAATTAGCAACACCAACAGAAATTCTCCTTAGGCTATAATCACATTGACTTCTACAATAGGTTCTGCTGTAACGAGGCCCCCGAACACAGCTTCCGGTCAGCTGGCAACCAAATGATGGTGGTATTCAAATCATTCCTGGGCGACAACATCAAAGGTTTCAAATTGGAATACAAAGCAGGTGGGTGAATTCAGAGGAGAATTCCAGAGATATTTTCTTTTAGTCTTCCAAATTATCTCTATTGATCCATCCTCCATTTTTGACCGTCTCCCGACAGAAAAAATTAGATGCCTGTCACTGTAAACTTTAAAATCTAACCGTCTTCTGGAAGACCCAGAAGATGGTCTCAATCCCCCATGAGAATTTCATCAGCTGTGTTATGTTATAAAAATTAAGTAATTTTTTATCAATCAGCAGCTCAATATTGAAATAGTTTGCCTACAATATTTCGATGTCTAACAGAACATCTTCATCGATAATAAACTGATGATTGAAGAAAAATTACGTAATTCTTATAGGAGGGTGAATTAAAATAGATTCATCAACAGTTACTGGGGCGGGAGGAAACTTGTTTCATTTAATTATGTTGTCATGATTTCTACACAATATTCAATCTTATTTCTGGACATTAAGGTGTTTTGTCTGAAAATAATTTCATCAGCTGTGTTATGTTATAAGAATAAAGTAATTTTTTCTTCAATGAAAATATTGGAGGCTAACTATTTCATTATAAGCCGTTGATTGAAGAAAAGGTTACTTTATTCTTATTAAGGTGTTTTACGTGTACGCGCTCCAGTAGTTCTGATTAGGTAGATAACTTTTAACTAAGCGATCTGTAACTTCAGAAAGATGTGGTGGGTGTGGTGAGGAGAAAAAAGACCTGGAAAAAACGTGTAGCAAGATCGTGAAACACGACTGCTCTGGAGTTTATTATGTGAAGTGTGGGCTGCTACACTGGGCTAGATGTAGCCGGTAAGTAACCTCTCTCCCTCTCTCTCTCTCTCTTTCTCTTGCTCTCTCTCTCTCGCACATACACACAGACACGCGTGCACACAAGCACACACACTCTCTCACACAATCATCCTCACGGACACGCACAGGCACACACACACACGCTACATATAAGCGTCCGTTAATCAGTTTTAATAGATATTGCATAACTTAACTATAACTTCCATAACATGATAATGTGCAACTGTAGAACATGAGTGGTAAAGGTTTCGAAAATATTTGTTGAGATTCATTGAAACAAAATTGGAAGTAAAATAGTGAAATAGATAACATATCGCTTTTGATCTTTTTTCAGAAAAAGGCTGGATTACTGTTACAAGGAACATGAATTTTGTTGTGAAGGATACAAGAAAGTTGGATCACATTGTATCAGCGATGATGCCAGATTAGAACTGAATGAACTAATGAAAAAAATTGATTAACCCATTAACCACTTTAAGACTTAACCAGTATCCTATGTCCAGTATCCGAAGGGTTTGGGTGTTGGTGAGCACGACTTAAGAGTCACAGTTAGTTATTACATTCAGAATGCTTTTGATGTTACAACGTAATTCTGGGACCGAAGGGAAGGATTCTACAAACATACACGTCTTTGTCAAATTGCGAAACCGTGCACCCCCACCAAGAAGGGGCGTCCGCACCCTATTGAACCTAATGGTATTCGGACCTTAAATTAATTACTTCGATTAAAACCTACTTATATATTTGGCATTGTCAAGGGATGAAAACAAAGTATCCAGATGTCAATTAATTCGCGTTTATAGTTTGGTATAAAGGCTTTTTCGAATATGACATATTGAACGAACAAAATATATTCAGAAAGGCACTGATTGCATTTAAATATGTATTAGATCTAGGAGAAAAGGCACAAGGTACATAATATAAGATTGATATATTCGGTCACGCAAACGGACAAAAGGTGGCGGTTCAATCGTTTTATGATTATTCCCGATACAGACTGGGCATGTGCAATAGTTTAACGTAATTATAAACTCATGCAGACACCTAATATAGAGAGAATGAAATAGAATAAACGTAAATAAAACAACATAAAACAAGTCTTTTATTGTGCGTATCTATGGACAAAGGACTTAATACTGTTTTCGTGTAAAGTTAAATGTTGACAATGTGTATTTAAATTTTATCTACTTGGAAAACTGAATTTTCATAAATAAAATTTGAGAATTATCTAAGCATACATGTATCACAGACCATAAAGATCACAAACGCCAGAAATCAAAGCTGAAAGATGCGTTCCCAAACCTAGATCGATCTAGCAGGATCGACCCATCTCCGTGTGGTTTCTCGCTACGGCGAAATCCACATGATTCCATTGTTATGCCCGAAACCGCTATTAGATCCTAGTCCACTGCAGAAGTAGTCGGCGGTACTGCTCTATCGACAGAGGCTTCCTCAGAGGTCGTCTTGCACAGCCTAGTTAAAATTTTGTTTCATTATCTGAAGTTTTCATAATGAAATATATCAGTACGGTACATGCATGTTTTTTTTTTCTTTTCAATTCAATACTAGCACTTGGCCACATTTGATAGTTTATCTATTCACTTTTCATCTATTCAGTTCTATTTTATTAATGGATTTATTTATTTTATCATAACATTTTCACATTATGGTAGACTGGTGTAGTATTTTATGGACAGATATAATGAACAGATCAAAAATTACGGCTGCCCGTGAGCAGAGGTGATGCCCATACAGTTTGTAGATATTATATACTGGAGTTATTTTCATAAATGACTAGTACTTTATTTGTATATGTGCCAGATCGAATTAAATTTTTATCGCTCTTTCTGTGGTGCCAAAGATTAAGCACGCGCGCGCGCGCGCACACACACACACACACACACACACACACACACACACACACTAAAACAATTTGCTAAGCTATCGATTGCAGCAGATATCATTTCTGTCCCCCTCCAGATGGCGCTATAGAACGGTTTGGTTTGTCAAACCTGGCAAAAACTGCTCAGATTGCAGCATGCAGTAGACCATATAAGCACAACCAGTGACCTACATAATGTCATTTTACTTTGGGGTGTGTAAGGGTCTGAAGCTTAATTTAATTCATTTAATCTAGTGAATTTTGAAATATGCGGGAAGCATAAGCTTCCTGTGCATTACTATTTTAATACATTGCTAAGCAAATTTTGTCTTTCATATTATGGTATTTGATAAATAGAAAGGGCGGTCACCTAGCTCTTCCTGCCTCCTACCCAGATGGATCATTTGAAGACTGAACCCTTGAAAGAGATGTCACTTCTTCTGCGGTTCTGAGTGACCCGGGTGTGGATGCGAGGCAGCCAGGATACATGTATACACATGTAGTACTAAGTATATGGATATTTCAGTTTTAACCGATTCAACGAAACGTCCTAAGACAATGATTTTAGGTATTTGTCGGTAACTTATCTTTGATGCATTTAAAAATGGGTTTGACACCTGCATGTTGAACACTGGGCTTTGCCATCCACCAGTATTTTCCCCACGTATTTTATGGCTTCCATGCCTCCTTTATTTCATCACGTACCTCTTGACAGTGAAAATTGCAGTTGTGCCTCATGTTAACTACACAGAATCTTAAATTACATCGGTGGAATTAGTAGTGGGAGTAAAGTTGTACATGTGAAATAGTCGAGATGGGGGAAATTCTGTTGAATGGCTCTTTTAAAAATTTGGCTGTTGAAATTAAGAGAGAGAATTTTGTGTTTGTGTTATGTGCCATAATTGTAGTACAGCAAATTAGTCACAATTGAAAATTAAAGAACAGGATAAAGGCTTGGTGATATTCTTCCATTTCTAATTCTCGCATGTTTTCACAAATAATACCATTTAATGTAATATTTCGATCCAGTGGAGTATGTGACCTAGTTAATAGTTACATTGCTTCCTGCGTAACTGATTATGAAAGCAGCCATTTTCAAGGCATAGGGGGGAATTGCTATATCCAATTTGCAAGTAATGCTTGAACGTAATTTTGATATTTCTCATTTATGGCTAATGCCAATATCATGTTGTCTAATCAAAAACGCTCTTTCCAAAGCAATTTTTCATGATTTTTTACCTCCAAATTTAAAAGTCTGTAAAAATATCAAAACGCAGCATATTTAGCACCGCATAGTCATTAATAACAAAACTTGTTTTATATCGCCAAATAGTCCCCCCCCCCATTTCGATTTCTGAAAAAAAATCACACAGATATTCCCTTTTGAAATTAGAATTTTGACTAGCTGAATCATAATTCTAAATCGTACCAAATGGCACCGTTCGCCCTCCAAAATACCAACATTTTCGGGCCCAGAACCCCATGACAAGGGGGATCGACTTCCCATCCACGGACCCCCCTTCAAAAATCGTGTATCCGTCTTAGCCCCCCTTATGCCTTTACACGCGTTTTTCTACAATATTATAAGTTTCAGTTTGCCTCCGTGATGTTTGTAAAACTATTTGCGATATTCTTTAGCAAGACAGCAAATTGTTACTTTACGTTAATTTCAATGCAAATATAATGCTCAAAAATACGGAAAACTTGTTTTTCTAGTCCAGGAAAACTGACAAATGAAGCTCAATTTGACCTCTTCATCAAAAGACGAAAGAAGGCTACCTTGAAAACTCTGTTCACGTAAGTTTGCACATTTGTTGATTTATGTTACTTTTTCATGTCCTTTACCGGTAAAATAATTGAAGAGAAATAAATCGTACTGAAGCAGTCTTACGTTTTTGATCTTACAAATAATACATAATCAATGCAATCCATTTTAAAAATTGTTAAATGCTTAGTTGCCAATATTATTTCAAAAGATTAAAATTTCTCAATTTCTAAATAGCAAGCATTTCACTCGTCACTTGGAACTTAGCATTTACAATATTTTCACTCGCTCCTGGAATTAAATTCTTAATTTTGAAGGCATGCAATTCGGGTTAGACCAAAGCAAAAAATCGGAAAATTTCAGCAATTTTCCCTTTAGGTTTAATTTATTCAAAACCGTTACGAAAACAATCATCTAAAAACCCATTTAGGTTTCCAAATTTCTATTATTCTATTGCCACGTGTGAAAGTCACAAGCCTTTATCTCCATAGCAAGATTACTTAAACACGTATCTGCATCATCTTTTGGATTTTAAAACATAAATGCAAAGTGTTAAAAGTACCACCATGATTTATCCCTCCATTTTTTCTAAGATTGATAATAACACACGTTGCAATTAAATTGCTAAAATGCATTTTTTCAATAATCATTGTCTCTAGGGGATTATTTCTTTCACATTCCTCACTGAAGTTATTCTTTAGTAGAGTATTTGAACGTATTGGTTTCTGTTAAATGTTGATTTAATATGTAAAGGTATGGTAAAAATTAAATTAAAATTGAGACAGTGGTGGATTTTTGTTCGATACACATATATGTTTAAAAAATTGAATACAACTTTGAATTAACTCAATTTTATTTTTGGACACTTCAGCATGTGAAATGCACCTCTTTATTGGATTTGGATGTAAAGCGTTGTCTTCAGGGCAGATTCCACTAAATAGACCAATCACGAATGTAGTGCTGTGAGAAAAATTAATATTTTTCCCAATTTTTTCTGATATTTCTTGTGTGTTTTGCTAGGGTTAATTCTGGTGTCAATTAGCAGGCTAAGATGTTAACTATGCATTTTTTATTCAGGACCAGACACGGGTGTCGTGCAATGTGGGTCCTCTGGCGGAGGGAGCTACTGACTGTTAGCGGTGCAGTGGTTTGTTTACAAACAAGAGGGCTCCACGTGATCAAGTACTGCCGGTAAGAAAAGAAGCTTTTCAACAGTAAATATTTATGCCATTGGGAGTTATTTAAGTGTGTCTGCTGTCCATGGTGATAGGAAATATTTCATTAAATTATTTTGTTCATGCAGTTTTGCAGGCATTTCTTAGTATGGCCGTCAAAGGGAAATTATTTGGTGGTTTCTGCCCTGAATTCCGAGGGCATGATGCATAGCGATAACATTCAATAGTATGCGTAATTACGACCCGCAAATAAAATGTGTTGTCTTTTCATATGATTTTTAAGCAAGATATTCCTAAATGTCTTCTGCATATTTTGATGAAATTTTCAAGAGGCACAGATATTCAGATGAGAAAGAAATTATTACAATTTCGACTGAATCTGGATTTCCTCGTATTTTTATATATTTATTATTATTATTATAATTATTATTTACCATTAACTTAGAAGTCTGCATTCTAGGAGTACTCTCTAAGAATATTATTCATTCATTTTGGATCATGTTTAACATAAGACAACCTCGACTTATTTCCTGCTTGCCTATATTTTGGACAAGCCAATGCGTGCTTAAATCACTATATCCCGTGTGATTTATTATTCATTGGTGAAAATTTAAGAGCCGTTCAGGTTAAATAAGAAATTGCTAAAAATAATTTTCTCATTTCAGAAACCCACCGAGGTACAGTTCAACATGCGTCTGCTAGCAGCCTTACCTTTGGTTCACATTCAGGAACTCTACGCCTATTCAGGCATTTATTTTATGTGAATTGAATAAATATATTTGTCTGGGATTTCTTTTTATATTTTTATATGAAAAATTATGATAATAATAATAGTAATAGACAGAAAAGGAGTACGAAGATATAAATATAATAACTGTTTCAGCGATTTCAAATTCAATCTACCTAATATATTCTGTAAATATTGCCCTTGTCCTTGGCTCTGACAATTTGCTTTGGTACATGAAAATATTTGAAAGTGAAATGGTTTAAAAGCTTTGCAATTGTACCTTGTATTAAAAAGCGATAGTATTTGAGTACTTAAAATTCGAAAGTCTGCTGCAAGGCTGTAGACCCAAAAGATTTTCTATAAACACACAAAGTGTAAATACAAACCAGCTTTTTGAAGTTAAATTTTGTTTCTAAATTTTTTCCATGTCATGATATTTTCAATGTACATAAGAACAAATTTGACCATCCTCTGGAATATCATTTCATCACTTTTTATAATGTAATTCATAGCTTTTTTATAGGATTTATTTATTTATTTTATTTTATTTTTTTTTTGCTACCGGCAATTTGACTATCTAAATACTTGTATATATAATTCCATTACAAATCTGAATAAAATGATTAAGTGAAAAAGATTCTGCCGCTTTTTAGTAAATTTCTGGCTGTTCCAGGAATTGGGACATTTTATTTGATGATATAGAACTGATCGAATGCTTCCGAGTCCTATTTTTTAAAAAATTATTTGTATATATTTCGCTTGGTCTATGCAAAATAATATTCAAATTATTTTCAATGCCTTCATGTATTTTTAAACCAATTGCGAATTCCAATGGGTCCTATACAGTAAATGCTCTTACAATCTTTGTCTCACTTATCACCCCTATAAATGTAATTGACTGGCCCACCTGTCGNAAAACAAAATAGACTCGCCCCACCTGTCACCCCTCAAAAACAAAATAGACTCTTCCCACCTGTCATCCCTTAAAATTGAATGGACTCGACCTGTCACCCCTCAAAAACAAATGGACCCACCCATGTTCCAAATATAGTACTTAAAATCCAGAGTATATCAATACTACTACTTTCACTTCTGTATCAATAAGATCAAACTGAAAAACGTTCTCAAAAAGCGTATTTATTCAGGCAAAAACGATTGTCGTTCACAAATGTCACAGTTACAAATGATATAATAAAATTTTCTTCTACAATGTACATCATAATAACGAATAATACAGTAGTAAATTATAATAAATAATCTTACTTTCAACTTGTGATCTGGTGAAATTGCAACTTTACCTTTAAATTAGAAAGTTGTGATATGTAAGCACTTTGAAATTATATTATGGCTTTTCATATTATAGTATAGCTTTATATTATGAAACATAACATAACTGACTGGTCAAATGAAATCAAATTAAAGTTTTATCATAAAATCATATTTATTTTATTATTCACATCGATCAATCCTTATGGTATAATTTAAAAATAAAAACAAGGCAGCACAGCTGTCAAATGTACAGACAAAAAGCAGAAAATAATGCACAAAATAGGATACTGTCAATTCTGATGCAATAATACATTATGCTAAACCCCAAAGTCAACATCAAATTTTAATTATACACAACAGATAATACTGATGAAAGTAAAAGCATAAGGCTTCAGGCCCAAGAGAGTTCAAGTTCATAGAAAATGCCACAATGAGAAAAATGAAAATTTCACAAAAAAAAAGTATGTCAATCCTAAGAATCATTCTTGTAAGTTAAAAAAATAATAAGTAACACAGTTTTCTTTTGAGAACATTTGTGGTGACAGTGCACGAAGTAGGTTTTTTGACAATTTTGATGCAATATTACATAATGATTAACTGTATAATTACCACCAATTTCTAATTATCTACTATTAATAACATGGACATTTTGTAAATTTGATGATTACTGGGCTTCATGTCCGTGGAAATTGTAAATCCCCCATTGAAAATGCCAAAATGTGAAAGATAAAAAATTCACAAAAATGTACAACAGAAAAAGAAGCCAATTTGACTGCTTTTCCAACTCAAGCTGCATTTAAGTCCTATGTTTCTTTCATGTAAGTTTAAGAAAATTAAGTGATATGGTTTTTATTTAATGGTCACTATGGAGGCAGTGCACAAAATAGGGTTTTTCTTCAATTTTGATGCAATATTACATAATGTTTATCAGCATAATGACAATCAATTTTTAATCATAAAATAAAAAATACATGGATATTCAGAAAATGTGACAAGCAAATGTCTTCAAGGCCATGGAAGTGCAGAGTCACACCTTGTAAATGCCAAAATGTATACCAGACATAACTGTACTGAAATGGGTTTATTTCCATTTTCAACACCTTTTTTGCATAAAACAATATAATCAATTTACTGTTTGCAATTTACTGTTTTTATATGATCAACTAAGAAAATTGTTGACATAGGAAATATATCAACAGAACAATTTTAAATGTCTAATTTGCTCCATTCTGAGATTCTGAACATAGTGAATAATTGAATCTGGCAAACTGCAATGATGTCTTTCCATTTTTGACACTTTATTACACAATATATAATAACAGGTTTACCATCATTTTAACTAACAATATTGTTAAGATGCAGAGAATGTTAAAATAACACTTTCACATGTCTAATTGGCTCAACAATGAGACTGTTGACATGCCTAAGAATCAAATCTGATGAAAAACTTTATCAAAACTTAACCGATCAGGCTGATTTTCAAACTCAACCTGTATTTTAGTAAGATTGATCACTCCAGTAATTTTCAAGACAATAGGCCTATCAGTTTCCCCTAAAATGTGTTATTAGTGTTGCATATATGCTGAAAAAAAAACCGAAAAAACAGCATAACTTTTAAAGAAGCCCGATCATGCTGATTTTCGAACTCGACCTGCGTTTCATGAATGTTTATCAGTTCTGTAAGTTTAAAGCCAAAAGGTAAAACGGTTTTCCACTTATCGTGTTATCGGTGAAAGTGCACGGCGACAGCGACGACAGACGCAGGTGGCGGCTATATGTACAGACACATCTGTGTCTGTACATAATAATTGATGCCTGATTTTAAGGAAACTGAAACACGATCAATCTTAGTGCGCCATTTCAGTATGCAGAACATTTAATATAAAGCCATCATTTTGAAAATCATGAACGATTGTCAACATGTAACTTTCACATGTGCCAGTCCGTGTCCTGTTCCAAAATACGGAAGACTAGGGCAGCTTCTATCAGTCGTTTGCGCATTTTGCAGTATGTTGGTAAAGGGAATGGCAGTGTTCTGAAATATGAAACTATCACAGGTTAATGACATAATTAAATATCGCCATGTCATTTAAACTTAGCTTAGGTAAAACGGTAATGGAAGAGGCATGCAGTTCAAGATCCAAAATTCTCCGATATTTCACTAATTTCAATAGATGTTGTACACCAATTTCTATTACACTACGAGAATGACATGGAAAACACGACCAATATTATTGGAAAGCTTTCTCAAAGTAAAGGTTAAACGAATACGAATAATTCCGTCAAGGAACAGAATATATTACTGAACTGAGTAAAGAGTTAATAGAAGGCAAATGACAATGCATAATTTAGTTTTCTCGTGAACAATTAACAGATCTTATCATGTTTGTAAGATTTCTGGAAGTTTGCCAATCGATATTTTTAATCTTTGCTTTCTTTGCACTAAATCCGAAAACAAATATACAGTGTGTAATTGGGGGTGAAAATTTACATTTGCAAAGCATAGGAATCAGGAGCGACTTAAAGACATGGTTTACAAGATTATCCAAGTCTTAGCCAAATTCAGAATAATACACAAACAAAACTGAAAAGGTTACTCTTGGCTTTTCATATTCACTTAAAATTTACTCTGGTTCTCGGTTTTCAGTGATGACACTTAATTAGCACAAATAACACAGCATGGGAATGCAGGACTGATATCTAACCAAGCCTGTCTTTCTCAATCACTCTTTGCTCCCCAAAATAAATCAAAATATATTAGAATACAAAACAACTTTAATTAGAACGCTCCTCTGCACGTTTTAGGCATTTTTTTTTTACTTTAAAATCCAAACCAAACAAAGTATTAAGGTTTACGTACAATTAGGTTGAATATCGAAATTATCGAAATTGCTCCCCAAAATAAATCAAAATATATTAGAATACAAAACAACTTTAATTAGAACGCTCCTCTGCACGTTTTAGGCATTTTTTTTTACTTTAAAATCCAAACCAAACAAAGTATTAAGGTTTACGTACAATTAGGTTGAATATCGAAATTAGCGATTAGAGGAACAAAATATTTTGTAACAACATTTTTAGATGATAATTCCGTAACTTTCTTAAATAAGTGACCAAACGGTAATAATGGACTTTAGTATAACAGGTCATTTAATAAACCCTATAATCTGATATTTAAAAAATCCATAGATTTTTTAAGAATTATGAATTGTTCACTATCTTTTTGAGCAAAATTGACAAAAGTTGACGGTCTAAAATTTCATTTAATCCTTTCAGATCACTCATTACCTCTCGAAAACGGGGCTTTGCGACAGCTCAAGTGATTTTCAAAATATGGAATGCAAATTAATGTCAGTCCTACAAAAAAATCTTAATGGACAAATGATATCTAAATGCCATTTCCGTTTTTGTTTTTCGACACTACTGTTTTTTAATAGAAGTCATAAACGGCATATTAATGATCCCAATCCTGGGAAGTTTCTGTACCCAACTATAGGAATTGTTTTCTTATCTTATGTACAACAAACATTTCCATCCTACTACTGCAATATTAAATTAATTTTTGTTTCGGGTGGCAATCTTTACCCCACCCCATGGTTTAACTTTGTTTCAGAAAACAGATGTTTGATCCCCACCTAACACTGAAAACATGGAGAACCAGAGGAAGTTCATTCACAGCCACAGTGCCAAATTCATAATTGTGAAAATCGTTACAGTAAATGTGGACAATTCGGCAGTAACTTGGACACATTTTGCCGCTACATATTGTTGGGATTTCTAAGGAGTTGTACGTTTTATTAACAGTGTTAATTGTAGATTTACATTTCTTCCTCTTTTTCGGCTGAGCACACGATAAGTGTAATAAAAAATTGCCTATATGCATATTACGTAACGGGGTTACCAGAAATCAACATCATTTAGAATGAATAAGAGTATACCTTCAAGTATATGATAATTCTAAAACAATCACTTTATCATTTTTATACAGGCATAAGCTCTGTTGAATAAGAAATTCAAATCTTACGTTTCTGGTTCGAAAAAGAACAGGTATCAAACCCGACACAACAGTATACATAAATAACCCTCATAACACCATGATCAGATAGAGCACTGTACTATAACACAGTAATATTATAATTACCAAAAAAGAGCAAACCAGCGACATGCAGGGTTGACGCGTAGTATAGAGGTAATTACTGGCAGAAGTTTCATAAATAAAAAAGCTCATTTTATTCGACTTTAAATTTGATATACGTTTTGGAGCAGAATGCTACAACAAAAAGCAAGCATAAAATTCCTTACTATTGTTGTCACTGCAAATTAACGAGCAGACAAACGTTGACAGGGGAATCAATCTTGGCATGGGTATGGGGCTGCATGTGTCGAACACGAAACGTGTCTCTGAGTAGGACGCTTCTGGTATCTTCGTAAACGGTACTTAGAGTCACTGGAATGAAAGGATATAATTCCCATTCATGAAACAATATCTAAACATCTGATGAAGCAGCACATGTTCATTGCAGCTATTCATGTCAGTATCCTTTGCGTTATAATTAACAAATCGCAATTAAAATTATACAAATATATATTCATATTGAACCCTCATGGAAAGCTAATGGTATCAATAACAAAAGGGTGCCCAAAAGACCATGAGGGAAAGCTAAGAGAAAGTATACTTCACGTCAGTTAGACGTCCACATAGTCATTATGCCTAGAGTGCACCATATCGGGAAAATATCGTCAATGCAAAACATGGGTATGGGGCTGCATGTGTCGAACACGAAACGTGTCTCTGAGTAGGACGCTTCTGGTATCTTCGGAAACGGTACTTAGAGTCACTGGAATGAAAGGATATAATTCCCATTCATGAAACAATATCTAAACATCTGATGAAGCAGCACATGTTCATTGCAGCTATTCATGTCAGTATCCTTTGCGTTATAATTAACAAATCGCAATTAAAATTATACAAATATATATTCATATTGAACCCTCATGGAAAGCTAATGGTATCAATAACAAAAGCGTGCCCAAAAGACCATGAAGGAAAGCTAAGAGAAAGCTAAGAGAAAGTATACTTTAATATTGATGTCCACATGGTCATTATGCCTAGAGTGCACCATATCGGGAAAATATCGTCAATGCAAAACAAAGTAATGCTACAATAAATTTTCTATCATCAGTATGGAACTTACGCTATTCTGCAGCCGGTTTCAATGCAAACTTTTCGGCCTACATGTGGCAGTAGCAGTAATATGACATTTCCTTCCTCTCCATCTTCTACTGACCTCGGTCCTATCTGAACGCCTATCACCATAATGGTCACCTGATTTACATAATAATGAAGAGGTCATCTACTTTCCGTGCAGATGCTTCGTTTTGAATTATAGTCTAGTATGGTTCATGAGCAGGCAGAAGAGTCTCCATCTCGAAAAGGAGGATTGGGGTTTGATTAAGTCATAATGATACACAAAGACAACAAAAATAAATAGATAAAAATAAAAACGCATTTTAAAAGTCAACATAGTTTATATTGCGTATCTGGGCATATAAATCAGCTTTTATAGGTCGAATGAACGAACTGGGGGGGGATTGTGATAGATAAGACAGGATTTTCATTCAATCTTACGGTACAGCGTAACCGTTAGGTTATTGATATTTCTTTCTTTCTTTCTCTCTCTCTTGCTTTCTTTCTACTTCTTCAAACAACGATGGACACTTTTAAAGGAAAACCTTTTAGTTACATGTTTATTGAATTGTCTTGTATGTTACATTCATTGGTAAACTATACAGAATTGATATTTTACCTGCAGGAATTAAACAAACATAAAAACTGAGTAAAATACCTGGTCGCGGTAGACGCTAATCGTCAGTCGCCTCTCCCTCCGTCCACTCCTGTTTCCCTCCTCAAAAACGATTCTGGCTTCTCAGAATCGTTTTTCTAAAAACGACACTTGTTTCTGGTTTCCCCTTTCTCACCCTCATACCCTGGTACACAATAATATTCGCAGTCATGTCATGTATTTGTAGTACTTTTAGTTTGATAATTACCCACGCTATCACAGTGATCTGCTAAGGGCATTTCACATCCAATAGGGAAATAGTAGTGACAGCTCAATAATCATAAATTCGGGCAAGAATGTAATAAAGCAGTAAAATACTCTATAAATAGTGTCAAAAGGAACACCACGCTGGCTAGTACTGTCAGTTAATATACTTAAGAGCATATACGCCAATATCGGCAATATCACATGTAAACTCAGTTGTCACCACCAAAATATCACAGTTTGTAACCCAAGATGACAGGGTCGTTGTCAAAAGGGCAAAGGTTTAAATGCACAAAAAATGTAATAATACGACCATGGTTAAAAAGCTGCATATGTGTTTAAAAACTGGCGCTTGTGTTTTAATTATAAGAAACGTATGTCATATTCGTACGCATTTACTCTCTTTAAAAATAAATGTCACAACGTTTAAGCAACGGTGTATTTGAGTAAGCCCGTGAAGGAAGAATCCGTTTTCTTGTAAACGCTGACATCTCCTTTGACGCCAGCTGTCTGAAGAGTTCCCTCCCAGATGTCGTCTGCCCCCTTTTCCAGATGGTTCCAATTATTCCCTGCAACCACGGCGACGTCTTCCGTGTTTGGAACACGGATTCTGAACTTTACTTCAGAATCTGCAGGTAATTGACCTGTCATTGGCTCGAGGAGTTGACATTCATTGAACGCTGTGTAGGTATCTGGAAATGTCGCTGGCGTTGTAGGCGTGACATTGCTATCAATCAGAAAATCGCCGACATGCTCGTAAGAGGCACCTCCCTGGTCGTCGGCTGGTTTGGCAAAAAGGGTGAACTTATAATACTCTGCAGCAGGAACCGCTGCAAGATACGCAAAGCCGTCTTCGGTTTCGGTTCTCATTCCACCGTTATCCACTACCGAATTTTCAGCCGACTTCACAGAAAACGTAGTTAACAGGGGCACGTTCTTATTGGATTTAAACTCCAGTTTTGCAATGCCCGAGTTGTCTGGTATTACGATTGGCTTGGTTCCTTTAAATGTCAATCCCATGTTTATCCCCTTGGCGGTGAGACCCCAAACAAAACTTGTTGGGAAAGGCCCTTTGGTGTTAGCCACAACGGATGTGCATCTCAAAAGGAATTCTCCCATCCAACCGTATTGGCCATCCTTGTCCACCTCTTTGGCAAACAAAGTCAATTTATAATCTCCGGGAGAGGGTGGGTTTATCAAGACCGTTGCGTGTTTAAAGTCCTCCTGGTCCATGTAACAACACGTGAACTGTTTATAGTCCTGTCCAGAGGCTTTATCAACGAGAGTACACATGAGGACCAGAGCCCTGTCGGCCTTGAAACAAAATTCAATGGGACCCTCAAACTCCACGACAGCCTTGTGGTGTGACATGCTCGCGGGGTCAATGCCAAGGTCAAAGAATGACGGTTTCAGCATTGGAGATTCTTGAAATTGTGTCAAGGTCCATGGAGAAGCAAGTAGCTGCCAGTCGTCGCTGTTGCTTCTGGTCTTCTCGTGTGGGAAATGGCTGTATACAAATGCCTCCGGATCCGTTAGGAAGTAAAACTCTTGGAACTTAAACTGTACAGAAAAAAAGGGTCTTTGATAATTTCATGAAAGAGTTGTACTTCAGTCTGTTGGGATTAAGGTTTAAATGAGGGAATTAGTCAATATTGTCCCCTGTATTTAAGGTTCTAATAGTACCGCTTTTACGATAGGAATTAAATATGAACAGTTATTATGTATCTAGCAAATAAAGCATGGTAACTTATAGAGGTATATAAAACACATATTTATATATATGTAGAAGTAAACAAGTTTTTGACGCCACCGGCTTGCGTAAGTTATTTAAAAAAAGTGCTGCGGTCCAGTGGGAGATCACCTGGATAGGTTGGCTCATAACAATGACGTCAAGAATCCTAGCTACTGTTTAGTTTAGCGTTTACCAACGTAAATTCACCGGGTCCTATTTCAAAATGAAATTTTACATTTCCTATTCGTTTTGATTATTTGGCTACTTTAAACCTACCGTAAACTGATAGTCCCCGCTGAGATTCCCCGTGGCCCAGGTACAGTCCACCAGACGCCAGGCGTTATCCAGATAGATGGCGTTCCAGGCGTGGTTGGTGTCTTTACCCTCGAGTTGGTCGTCTGGAGTACTGCCGAAACCCTTGGCGTATCCCGATATCACCTCGCAAGGGATATCTGCAATTCTATAAAACACGCACATGTGTATTTGTATAGGTACCAGTATCTCTGTGTGTGTGTGTGTGTGTGTGTGTGTGTGTGTGTGTGTGTGTGTGTGTGTGAGTAAACAGGAGAGAGAGAGAGAGAGAGAGAGAGAGAGAGAGAGAGAGAGAGGGGGGAGAGATAATGCTTGATAGCAAAGCTCAATGGATGGAGCTTTTGTATTATGGCGATTCAGGGTGCAATGGAAGTTAAAAAAATACTATATACAGTCAGACATTTATCGCTAGTACATGTAAAATGAGGTAATATGGTCAATTTATGCAATAAGAGCTTTATTTGTTTGTTTTATTCTATTGAATAAATGGTCAAAGTGAAAACATCAAGGTGATAATAAATATGCATTTTCACATATTTACAGTCAAGTGCAAGATAAAAAAACTTGCTTACCTGCACATGGCCTGATACAACTTGGCATATCCAGTGCACACTGCACGTCTCCCCTTCAACGCGCCCTCGGCTGAACAATTTTCATCGCCTGAAACACCGTTTTTGAAACCCTCCCCGTCATACCTACGACAAGAAATTGAATTTCCAAGTTATTGACAAGTCTTCCCTCTTATTTATTTGCTAACATGTATCTGTTTGCCTTTAACACAGAACATTTTAATTGAACATTTTCTTTCCACTTTAATACCATTACTTAACTTTAAATCTGATGTAATCCTTTCAACTTCGTATTTCATTTGTAAAGTCTACGGAACATACTTTTGTGGATTTTATTCTCTAAATAAATACATTATTATCATTGTTTTGAATTCAAGATGTGTCTCAATAAATCGATTTTCGTTTCTATTTGTTTTATTCATCAAGTGTGTTCTTACATCATGTTGACAGTATACCAAAGTCGTCTATATTTTTATTATCAAAATCAATTAGAGATATTTCGATTAGGTTCTAGCCCTATTCTACGAAACTCTTAATATAATTTTCAGCTCGCCAATTTCTCAACCTTTTTTCATTTCAAATTTGCATTGACTTTTTTTTTCATTTTAAATTTGTTTTGAATTTTTTTATTTGGCCCTCCTGGGATTCCGTAGATTACAGTCTAATTAAAAATAAAATTTTCAGTTCACCCACTTACTGGATATTGTTGCTGATCCATCGGAACAAAACACGCGCCTTCTCCAAGTTGTGAGAACACACCGGTATCAAATACTTGACCAAGCTTTCCATGGAGTCAGCTGCTGACTCCGGTGCCTGATAAGAAGACATCATAAGACATAAGTTACAACAAAATCCTACTGCAATGAATATCCGACACAAAAATGATGATAAATAGGCCTACAACAAGGAATTATATGGAAATCTCAAAAGTACAACGTTATTTAAATTTTTATAAATTGTGGTGGATGCAACAAGTGGATACATTTTTTAACCCGTGAGAGATTATCAACTTTCGTAAGCATTATTTCTTGTGAATTCCACGCATATGTTTATCAACTATTGTTCACAACTTGGTCAGTCGTATATTGACCGGCAACTAATTATTTTCAATCATCCGTACTTTAAAAATTGATTCAACATATACTCACCTGTAGTGCATGTTGATCAATGGTATTGAATATAGTCAAATCTGGGATGTACTCATTCTTCTTGGTGGCTGGTGGACAGGGTTCGGGCGGGGACCCGCTCTCGTTTGACGTCGAAATGTTCCCTACCGTCACCGGTAAAGATCCCACGTCATTTTTGACAACAGCCGTGTCAGAAGTGGTGGTCAGGGGTTGTTGTTGTTGTTGCTGTTGTTGTTGCTGCTGCTGTTGTTGTTGTTGTTGCTGCTGCTGTTGTTGTTGTTGTTGTTTTTGCTGATCTCGTCTTTGCTCTGCCTTTTGATAATGAGTGAGCTGTCGCCCAGCATTTTCATCGGCTGTGGTTTTAGACGCTCCACACCCCATTGCTGTGGTGCTACAACCCTACACTGAAAGAGAAAATCCCTCTGAGAAGCAATGTATTGACAAACCCTTATATACAGCATGTCTTGAAACCACTGTTCTTTTTCTGCCCCCACCCTCTCTCTCTCAACCCCCACCCCCCACACATACCTACATTGTACGTGTACATCTACATGTACATAAGGTTTACAAAATAAACCTATGATCGTCTGTACCACACAAAACAAATCCACACAACATACCTCGTAATTCTTATCAAATTGACGCTGTTGCCAGTCAGTTTATCTTAAAAACCAAGTATAAAAACTGCTGCAGATATAACCCACACCCCGTTATAACCACAGCAGATTTGACAGCCCGTGCTCAGGCCAAGTACTACTAAGACCCTGCTAATACGATAGCGCATGGAAACTGCTTACAACAAAGACTGGCCGTCACAATGCCCACAACCGATACGTTATTAGTAACCACAGGTTACATATGCTACGTTTGACCTGTATTGTTGTTGATATAATATCAAGAACGTGTAGCACGACCTAGAGACCGTGTAAACAGAGAGTCGGTGAACTCTCTGTTTCAGAAACCAGGGTCGTGTTTCTGAAATTAGGTGTCCTCATAATATTACCCCCCCCCCCCCCCGACATGACACAGTCCGTGTTATTCAGAGTTCAGGGGGGGGGGGAGGGGGGGCTTTTGTTATAGAAGAGTAGGAGAGATTAACCAACCATTTTGGATAGCATTCGCACGCTATTTTAATATTAAAATTAATTTTTAATATTTTATTTGTTAGTATTAAAATACTTACAAAATTTTGACTGACCCGGTACTTAAGGGGTATTTTACGTTATTTTACTGATTCATTTTGCCTTCAATATCAAGTACATTTTTCACAATGTCTGATGCATGCATAACCCAGGTTTTTTTTCCATCAAGGGCTCTAAAATAATTTGTACTCTTTAAACATCATGTTTATAGAGCACAAAATTATCTTAGTTTTATATGATAACAGTTAATAGCTTGAGAGGGCTATATTACTAGAACCAATGTCGTATCTGATCTGAGACAATTATTGAAAATGAAAATTTACAGTAGTCGTAGCACTGTCCAAGATTTTTGTTAATTTAAAACCAAACAGCGCTTTAAAGGTTGAGAAATAGGACTTAATACTCAAACCCTCTGATGTGCAAGCGGTTACGCAAACTACTGGACGAATATATCGGATCCCAACTACAGCAATCAAATAATATTCTACGACATACATAGCACCAGGAGAAAGAGCAAGCGATGCGATTCAGACGTTACGCGCGAGAGGGTATGAAAGGGCTTCTGATATAAGTCTTGTATTTGCATAGAATAAATAAATAATATGCTTGATCTATTGAAGAGCTGCTATACACATGCGAAGGGATACTTTGTTCCGCCTGGGGTTCCCAATCTAGATGCTGATTGAATGAAACGCAAGCGATGCTTGGTGGAATAGGAGAAAGGGAAAGGTTTACACTTTATAGAGAACAATTTATTCACCCAAATCTCTTGGTTGGGAAAATTATCACGGGCATAGGTTGACTGCAATAATTTTGGCCTTTTCCCAAACTGACAGAATTAATAAATGCCGTCTTTCAAGGATACGTGTGACTACAGTACTGATAGGTTCATTTTTGGATTAAATTCTATAAATATAAAAATAAACAGTGATATTCTCGTGTTTTATTACCATAGCCATTTAGTAACATGTTTCATACACACATCTGAATAACTCTTTACTACTGCTTTAAAATAAACACCGTTTCTGAATACCACATTTGAACCCATTTTACTTCTGAACCAATCTTTGGCAATTCTGCTGATTACGACAAATTTCCTGTTTCTGAATACGTTATATCTTAAGTTTTAGCCAGAATATATTTACGGGTAGGTTTAAGTATTTTAATATAAACTCCCCACACATTTTTAAAAGCAATTGTTATAGTTCAAAACAAGTGTCACTTTTACTTGGTTTTCTACATATTCATCTAACCAGCACCTCTGAACGAAAAAAAATAATGAAATATTAGAAACATTTTCTAAAAAATTCTAAAATATATAACCACATATAACTTCCACAGTTTGAAACCTGTATTAAGGATGAGGAAAGACAACCTCTTTCTGTCAACAAACATTAAGTTTCTACTCTCTCTCTCTCTCTCTCTCTCTGCATAAAAAGATCTTTCTCAAGATCTCAAGATGTTTACATTCTAATTTGTAAACCTTCATAACGATTAGAAATACATATAGTCTCCTTTATTACATATGGAAGCCTTAATTATAACCTGAATATTGCACAGTGCATTGCATAAGCATATTATAGGCCTGCACCTCCCCCCGCCCTAAAAAAAATATGAAATTTGTTGGGGGAAATTAACTACTGTTATATCTGTTATTTTACCGTAACAGTTTATATATATATATATATATATATATATATATATATATATATATATATATATATATATATATATATGAAACGCAAGCGATGCCTGGTGGAACAGAAGAAAGGGAAAGGTTTACACTTTATAGAGATCAATTTATATATATATATATATATATATATATATATATATATATATATGATTTTAAAGAAAATTAAAATTCTTCAATATTTTCTAAGTAAGGGCATAGAAAGGAAACTAGGAGGGAGTGCAAATTAATCGTCCTTATTTTTTTTATCCTATATCCCTTTACGATATTATATTATGAAAACTTAAAAAATAAACAGTTCTCTTAATTTACAACTGCCAGCTACTGTAACAAAATATAGATATAATTTGACAAGTTATATCTGATGTAAAGGATCAAATTCTACCAACATACATAATGTATATGTTCCAAATACACACAATCACACACACATTATTTCTAACATTTAAGTTTATGACAAATAGAAATTAAGATGAAAAAGTATTTGGGTTATGTTCAGTTAAATATGTATAGAATATAAGGAAAATACACATTTACTGCTGCATAAACACAAACAAAATTGTGGATTTCAAAAAAAAAAAAATTAACATCAAGGTCAACATGACACAAAGAGAAAAAATTCAAAATGAAAACTGAGGAAGCCCTTTTAAATAAAATTTACACATTTTGTTTACAAATAAAACTTGGTATTGAATACAAGTTCAGAAACTCAAAACAATGACAAAGCCACTTCTTAGATTAAAAACTATGAAAATATAATACTATATTCTCACATCCAAAAACAACTTGATACTTTGTTGACCTAATTATCAGATCACATCACATTATTGACTGTTAAGTCTGTATGCTATTTAGATTTTGAGATTCTGCATTTTCTAATTTTGGCGGGATATATATATATTTTTTTTTTGTGAAAACTCAGAGATATTATGACCACTTTCTTTCTAAACACCTTGATACTTTATCACTACCTATTGGTAAATAACAGCACTCTTACTGTCTTTATTCAATAAATTCAAACAACATAAATCAGATAATAAACTATTAACCTACCCCAACCAAAATTGTAGGTGATACTTAAAATGTAGATCCAAGAGTTGTGAAAAATTAGTTGGCAATATGTTAAAAATGGACAATGTTGTAAGCATTTGGAATTCAAATTTTGTAAAGTAAGAAATATTAGTAACAGTGAGATGATTCAACATATTGAATAATTACCATAAATTTGAGTGCATAACTTGAAATTTGCAATTTCATCAGTAACATTTCTTTGCCTATACTATTCAACACTGCCCTATCCCAGGAACTTGGAAATCATTTCTATTATTACACTTCTTCTTATATATAATAAGGAACGGTTATAAGGCATCAAATAGCAACCAAATTCCTGTTAATCTTTTGAAACATCATTGCTCTTCATCGCTATTTACTGATAAACAAAACGGACGTGGTTTAATTGCTTATCTTACACCTGATCAAATAGAAAATCTTTCCAAATAAATGTGGCCAGGCAAATTATGCATTTTTTTTAAATAAGTTATCAAAATAATATCATAATGCTGTAACCATACTGTCACATGACCATGAAGTATTGACTTCATTAAATCATACAGCATCTATACCATGCTTAACATGGTGAAAAATAACAAATAAAAAGCTTGCTAACACAAAAATTTAAAATCAGATTGCAGTCCCTCCTACAGAAACTTTTAATGCTTTCTGCAAGAAGGCTGCAAGTCAACTGTATGTTTGCAATATGAAGACATATCCACCAGTTTGTATAAATGTGTCTCATCCTTTTCTTTGGAATGTTTTTAACATTGGGTTTAGTCAAACTCTGACCCGATTGTGATGCTCATGTCGCTACCTTCGATCAAAGTGGAGTGAAACCAGGCATTTGTGTCCAGGACAACTGAAAAATAAATGAAAGATTTGAGTTGATTTTTAACTTACAATTAACACTATACAGGATTGTTACTTTATATTTACACTTTCAACCTAAAATGGCAAAAAAGTCATGTAAACTGGTATAGCTAAGTGGATAAAGAAAAATTGATAAAATTTCCTAGAAAATTATCCTTTCATTTCATTCAATTAATTTTATTATAATTTTATTATTTTCATTTTAATGATTTTTTTTTGCTATATAAAGTCTAATGTGAACAGTATGCCACTACTTGTAACATTTTCAACTACAAAATGTGTACAGAGAAATAGTATTCAAATATGATATGAGGTAACAATAAGGATATGTACATAGCAGTAAAAATCTTAAGTAGACTAGTAGAAGATATCGATATCTGTTAACTATGCATGTGCATGTGCCTGTATGCGTGCATCTGTCCCTGGGTGGATGTGTTTTACTTATTTCAATGTAGTTATTAACTCACTGATGTCTCCTGGTTTGACGACCACCTCTATTCGGGGAACGCACTCCTTGTAACACTCAGGAGGAGGCTCCAGGGTCCACCGCTTGGTCCCCGTGATCTGGGCCTGCCATGACGGGTTCCCCACATTATCAATCTGAAATACAAAACATGGACACTTAGTTACTGTTTCTCTTAAAAGAGGATGCCACTAACCAGTGACACTGTACACAATGACATCAGCAAAGTACCTGGACTGATTACCAAATTAATCAGAGTGAAAGACTTATTTGACACTCTTTTAAAAAACATCATGAAAATTCAAGTACCCAAGGCCATAGCTCTTTATCCAGTCCAGGAGACTTTCGATTCTTATTAACATCACTCAAAGATTTGTCAACAGACAAGTTCATGATGAAAGATGGCATCTTTAAGGATAGTTTCTCTTCAATGTGGGCACCAGTATCTGGTATCAAGTAATGCTAACACAAGGCTATTGACTTCTTTATTCTCCTTTTATTGTACTTCCAGACTGTTTACATTATCATGAGGTTGCTCACAACGTAAAGCATGATTTGGCTCACCAACATAATTACCTGAAACTATCCCTCCCTTTCCAATGCTTTAACTTTAAATGTAAATGAAATTGATTAAACCCATGAATTCAGGTACAGAATTGTTTATGACAATGTCATTTTACTTTTCTAATAATAATCAGAACTGAAATGAAGCGGATACTGTACAGGTTTGAGACAGACACCACCGCCATCTTTTCCCAAAAATTGCGAAGAAATATCTCGGCAGGATTAGTGCTTGTCAACACGTTTCCCCTTTCACTGACAACATATTATTAGGTAAACAAAGAGAATGTCCCTTTAACAGCAGCATGTGGGTCACAGACTGGTGGAGAAGAGAGTGGAAGTATAATAATAACAACTGTGGATAGAATTTAGCTGCCATTTTCACACTATACATTCAGTCAGCTAATTCAGGGTCAGTCATGCATCAGCAGGGGTGTTCATCTTCGCATTCAGGCATTCAGCCTCAGCGTCAGTGTGTATGTCAATACCTGGTACTTCACCATGTTAAAAGACCCAGAGGACACTGTTATATTATGGGGGCATACTGTATTTAAAAAAAACATTCTTAGACTGTTTTATAACTAGGAAATTGACAGTTGCATAAAGTCCTGTTTTCAAGATGCCTAAATAATCCATCATGTTATTATAATTAAATCATCTTTATTTGTTACTTCTTTTGAACAATCAGTCCAGCATTTCTTCACAAAAAACATTTATTGATTGACTTGGGCACAAGCATCACATTGTGTGACCACTTAGAGCTAAATTCATAAAAACACAACAGATTATCATACTGCTCAGGCCCATAGCCAAGGGGGGGGGGGGTTTCGGGGGGTTCGAAAGAACCACCCCTTTTGTCAGGAAAAGGTCCATTTTGGGTAAAATTTAATCTAGGTACATGTAAGTTTCATTGTAAAAGGTCCACTTTTCAGAAAAAGAACCCCCCTTTTGAATTTGCTGGCTACCGGCCTGCTGCCGTACTAGTATATTGACAAAACATTTGATCTTCCTACACAAACTTTTTAAAGGATACACCTGAAAGCTGATAGTTAAATAGACACTTGACACTTGAATTCATCAGTTCACTGATGTCTAGTGAGAACTGCTCCCAGGTATGAAACAGGTTGTGACTCTGGATCCCCTACCCCAACCCCCCTTGTTCAGAGATGGTCACATTAGTCTAGATAGACAATACCACACAGATTAACTTCCATCAGAATAACAGAATATCTTCTTCTTCCAGTCAATACTAAAACATTCTTGATTAAAACAGACCTGACAACGGCCTTTGTCCATGATGCCATATGGTATACGTAGTACTGTAATGGTAATTATAAGTGAATAACTTTGTTCCACCATTCTAAACAAAAAGACCTTTAAATTTGGAGCTTAAATGTCATTCTTATTTGCTGTCTAGCTCACAAAACATTATAAATGATAAAACTTAAAACTTGTTCACACTTGTTATAATTAAAATATATATGCCTTTGTTATGTGATGCTTTCTTTACTTATGATTTACAACTTATTAATATATCCTGAAGCTCAAAAGTAGTATTATAACTTAAAATGCAAATGTGAATTTTGGACAACAAAACACAAATGACACTGGTTATGAACAGTGCAGAATTCATGGCTGTTGTGGCAAACACTTCTGTCTTAATTTACACTGATTAACACAACATCACAACGCCAAATATAGAGGAGTTCTTATCTGCAGCTATATATCTTTGATTACTTAATTAACTGCATGCTTCTGAGGAAACAACAAAAAGACAACTTCAAAGAGTCAAATTTCTTTCTTGGAATCTTCTATTTCTTCTATTCATATCTTTCCCTTGAAATACTTGATATCAATTATTTATCATATTTCCTCCTTGGAAAATGTAAAATCAGTTAATATTTCTCAGGTTTTCCATAGAATACTTAACAAACAGTATTCTCAGGTATCAGAAAGTGTGTGTGTGTGTGTGTGTGTGAGAGAGAGAGAGAGACAGAGAGAGAGAGAGAGAGACAGAGTTCAACAACATATGCCTAAAATATTTTTTTAATTAAATGTTTCAAAATACAATTTCTTTCACCATCATTTTTTTTTTTCAAAATAGAATCACAAAAACAGTTTAAAAAGACCACTACTTTCATAATTTGATTAAAAAGCCTAGTTTTTGAAAAATTAAATGCCTTCCTTTTTACCTTGGCTTAAAATATACCCCAAAAGTGAGTAGAAAATACTCAGCCCAGACAAAACTTAATTGAAATTTCACACCTTCATCTTTACAGGTAATTTCTGCTACTTTAACCGCAATCAATAACAGCATAGAGATGGTACCCTGATCTTTTTCAGCTCACATAGCGTGTTTAAAACCAATAATGAGTTTTTTGTGTGACTCTAGTACTTGAAAGAGTGTGGGATATTCTGGCTGTCACTTTCTCCAAAATTTTTTCCAAAATTGACTGAAAACCTTTAATTATCAATAAATAGCGGGTTTTCCACTGCTGTAATCCAAAATAAAGATTGGCATTTCTAAATGGAGAAAAAAAACTATATAAATTATCCACACACACACATCAAGAAGGTGCAAACGTAAAGGAGCACAAGTTTCAGATCCAAATGGACCCAGCTCATTTACAGGTTTTCGTTTTATGCCTGCTTAGATTGAGATATTGATATATATGAAGAAATCTTGCATGTGTTGGAACTTGGTTCAACTTAAAAAGCACTTATATCCACATTTAAGTGCACTAGCACATTATTTCACGCAAAAGAACATTAGGATTTATTGAAACGTGATGAGTATGTACAATTTGTGAATCTGAAGTTAATTGAAATAACCCCAAGATAAAAAACACATTTACTTTTTTACAAATATGCAAAAAGTACATTAATTTTTTATTTATAAATATGTAACAAAATGCATATCAAAACATAACATCACTGATTGGTGTCAGATACTTAGGGATCTACTTTTAGTTACACAACTGAATCCACAGTGCATCATACACATAATAACCAATACAAACACTGCCATTTCAAAACATAAAAAAGCAACTGATACTAGTAACATATAGAGCAGAGACTATGGTAAAAAAAAAGTTGTAGAACTTTTGGTTTTCAAAAGAAGGTGCATGGGACAGTGGAAGTAGTGGACATATATGCATTCCATTACATTTAATTAATATAAGCACCAATTTTTAGGTTTTGGGATGTGTGAAAAATCCATCCTTCTCTACCCCCAGTGAAGTGTAATTATAATATACACGGATTCCTAATTTGCAATATTATTATTCATTTTTGACAGAATGGGGTTTTGACCCCCATCCCTCTTTCATTCATGTCACACCCCTCCCCACTCCCGACCCCTCCCCTTCAGACCCTTCACAAAGAATTACCTTAACATAAAGACGTGAAAATATATTAGAGTCTGCCTTAATCTTCACTGATAAAAAAAATTAATTGTTTATCTTAAACAAAATCTTGCAGCAAGGGTGTTTTCTCTGGTATAAGTGGAAACATTTTGCCTGACATAAGCTGCAGAACTCTAGCAAATGTTCTGGTCTTAAAGTGCCTGTATTAATATGCTGAGTAAAATGGAGTTGTAAATCTAATTTTTAAATATTTTGACTGAAGGGGGTGGGTGCAGAACCCCTCCCCTCTTGGAACCCAAACCTATCCCCACACACACACCATAACAGTAATGTTCGCTTACATGCATGTTTGCTCCATAGCCTGGGCTGCCCATGAATATCCAATCTGTCTTGCTGGACTCGGCCAGCTTGGGGAGAAAATAGGGTCTTGAGTAGTGCTTCCTTAATATGTTGGCTGCCATTGGGTCGCAATTACTCCTGCAAAAATAAACAATATAAAGTGTGACATACATTCAGATCACAAATAAATTAAATAAACTTCATTTTTTTCAGCAAAATGTTTATCTAGCAACATTTGCAATAATGTGATAAAAATGCACAGATCTAAAAAGTAATGTTGTGGTGGGTTGTGGTAAACTGGTAAAAAACAACAACAAATCACCACCATATAACATGCATCTACAATATGCCAAGATAATTGTCAACAGGAAATTGCACCCAACAATTTTCTTTTACTATTGCCGAATTTCTAAAAAGACTTTTTATTTAAAACAGATTTTTTTCACTATAAAAGGTGAAGTCGGCACAATATTCAGGCTCTTTTAAAAAGAGAATTACTCAGAAAACACAAACACTGTGCTTGCCTCAATGCATATTACACCTTAACGTTTATATATAAAAAAAAACATTTGCTCAAAAAGATCTGATGCTCATTGTGTCTTTGACTTCAATTACTAGCACTTTCTTCAGTTTCTTTTTGGCTGGAACCTCTTTTTCTTTATGCAGTCATTTAATCATCTTTTTCAAAAGTAACTAACAAAAACACTGTTCCATTCATTAGTAACAAATCAGTTTGCTCAAATTCAGGGAACAATTACAGTTATTGCATTCAAATCTGGTAACTACAGGCTATATAATTTAATTATCTTTTGCTAACAAAGTTATGGTATTGAGTTTCTGTTTCGTTCTCATCAAACATCTTCTTCAAGTCTTTTGGGAAATATTAGTGGGCTCAAACAGATGTCTTCACACCAACTGAGACATGGCTGTGGTGAAAAGTGAATTAACTGCTATCTCTCTCTCTCTCTCTCTCTCGTTCAATTCTCTCTCTCTCTCTCTCTCTCTCTCTCTCTCTCTCTCTCTCTCAAACAGTTCCATTCTCTTTCTCTCCCGCTATCTACTACTTCTCTCTCTTTCGAACCCACTGTATAATTGCAAAAACCAACAATATTTAAGATCAAAATACTGAAAACCAGGCCCCCTCTCTACTGCATATACATACAGGTATATGTACTACACAACTTGACAAGGTGTGCATTTAGTTTGTTCAATGTGTGTTTTGTGGAGAGACGAAACTTTTGGTGATCAGCAAACCATGACACATTGAAGCTATACTTTTGTTGAAAAGGTATAATATTAAACTCGCTTTATTTAAATGAACCTCACAGCATGCCACAAAAAAGCATTCTTTATGTGCTTTATATAATTCATGGCTGGTTTTCTATTTATAAATATATATTCTCTTGGGTGATTATACACAGATAGGTCTTTCCAGGTCAACAAACAGGCAAGATACTCAGTAAAGAAGAAAGCAAAAGAATTGCAGATGCATTCTGTACAGAATTTAATGAGATGTTTATAATTTATTTTCTCAACATTTAACTCAACCAAAAAATACAGGGACTTTATCTAAGACAATGTTATTTAAACAGGTGAAAAACTTTTACATGTTAGGTGACATATGGTACTTGGTGAAAAAAATATGTTGCCATTGAGATGATCTTTTAATATACTGTTGTAGTTGGGTACATTCTAGTGGAACAAAGTTATCATACTTGGTCAATAAAAATGTACTCTTAATAAATTTTTATGTCTTCCCCTTTAAAAAGCCATCTAGAATTAACAATCAGATTCTGAGAATAATTAACATATTAGGATTAAACAGGCTTCCTTGTACAAATAAGAACAAAAACATGGGGATTTCAAAAGGTCACATAACTATAACTTAGATGGAAAACAGGTAAATGTTTGTGTGCCTGTGGGGGGGGGGGGGTGCATTAAACCTCCGTATGTTGAATACCAAATGTGGTGGCCTTAATTGAAAAAAAAATTAAAAGTGAAGACAGAGGGAAAAAAATTGCGCTGAAAGGGATAAGATAGACAGACAGTCAGAAAGACAGACAGACATCAAAGTATAAATTTTGGTTCGACTTTGTGCCTTACCATCCAATGTACCAGGGCTCGGCGTTGTCCTTCAACTGCGCCCTCTGATCTTCCATCTCAAATACCTCCCCGAGGTTCGTGAAGCTCGTCTGGTAAGGGAAAAACTGGCAGTCCCTGGTAGCGCTTTCTAGAACGGGGCTCCCCGGGGCGTAGACATTTTTGAAGAAGGAGAAACTGAACTCCGTCTGCGCCGTCCAATTTGCCGTCCCGTCCGTCACAACCACCGGGCGGCCGGAGTACGCGTAGAGACGCTCGAATTCCTCCTGGGAGAGGTTCGACACCCGAACAACTTCAGTGATGTTACGGCAGATATCGCAGTTCGTCGGCGGCCTGAAGATATCGAATATGAATTCGTTTATTTCAAAAATACATGGTTCTTGTTCAATGTCTTCGCCCCACGCGCTGTAGAGTAATCCCGCTACTGTGCGGTTTGTTAGCGGCCAGCCCGTGCCCAAGAAAACTCCCAAGAGTACGGACGAAATAACCACTGTCACTGCAAAAATGATAGTCCAATATGGCTTCTTGCTTTCTCTCAGGTAATCTACAGACTCAAGCATGTCATAGTGATCCCCCGTTATTCCCAAAGTCTTTGCTTTTTGGTGAATTTTGCGAAACAAAACCTTAGGATCCTGTTTGACGTCCGCCATGCTTGGTTGTGTACGTGATAATAGTGAAATATTGACCTAGTTTTAGTTTTGACCTATTTTTCATCTTGTGTTCTGATTGGTCACATAAAGTGGAACTAATTGTACCCTCCTTCACAGTTTTTATAACGAGGGATTTGAAATTCACGTACGTTTTCGCCGTGAAAGATAAAAATTGTGAGGTAGATGTCTTTATTATTCATTTCCTCATCATAAAAGGCCACGTACGGCTTACTAGTACGTCATATCTTTGGCCTTGAAGGTTTATAAAGGCCTACTCTGTACACTGTAATTTATATTTAAACCAAGGTGCCGCATGTAACAAAAACTCACTGATTCAACATAC